AGTTTGACTGAAACATATGATATGAAAAAAATGTCAAAACAATCGAGTTGTTTTAAATGTACCTATTCAAAGCATTACTTAGAAATTTATATTTAGAAACACTCCAATGAAAATGTTAAGACATAGCTCAATAGCATACATTCCCCTTAAGCTATTTAGATTTTAATAACACATTACTATTCATTTACCGTATTTTTCGCCCCATAGGACACACCGCCCTATAGGACGCACCTAGTTTTTTTTTGGGGGGGGAAATAAGGGGGGAAAAAATTATTTCCGGGGCTGGCACGGGGGAAGCCCGAGAACAGCCCCCAGAACAGCCTGCTATCCGCAAGCCTAGGGAGCCGCGCCGGTCTCCCCAGGCTTACGGACAGCTGCGCGAAGCCCGGGCGCTCTCTTCAGCGCGCCCGAGGCTTCGGAATGCAGGCAGCTCTGCGCGACTCTCCGGAGGCCGGCGCGGCTTCGCGCCGGGCTCCGGAGGGTTGCGCAGAGCTTCCTGAAGCCTGGAGAGCGAAAGGGGTCGGTGCGCACCGACCCCTCTCGCTCTCCAGGCTTCAGTGAAAGCCTGTATTCGCCCCATAGGACGCACACACATTTCCCCTTCATTTTTGGAGGGGGAAAAGTGCGTCCTATAGGGCGAAAAATACGGTACTCAGAAGTAAGCCACATTGAGTTCCAGAGTGCTAGCTCCGTAGTAAATCTGTTTAAGATTCCAGCCTAAGGGAGAAAAAGGAAGATGCTGAAAATTAACATATACTAATTTTAGCATGCCTGGACTTCTGCTTGCATAAGTGTTTGCTTTCTAGTGAGAGTCTCCTGAAAAATAAAAGTTTGCTTTTAAACAGTACTACTACTACATTGGTTCCATTTGCCTAATGTAACTTGTATTACATTAATGCACAAGCAGTCCTAAAAGTGGAGAAATTACTACCTCATCATTGATTAAAAAGTAAGATTTTTCAGACAGAACTTTGCATAAAATGCTCCTGCTATCTTCTAGTCAACCAGCATATTTCCCATTCCTTAAGATTGCATTGAATAATCTAACTATAGCCACATCTGTTTTTGTGTTTACAAAGCGACTCTTAAAATAGGCAAAGTGTAAGTTCTTAATATGCTTGTTACTACATATTCTCAATTTTAAAACTGACCAAATTTTTTTTTCAAATTGCCGAAAGATAAAAGGTCACTATTATAACTAGGCTGCTTCTTTTTCCAGCTGTTAGCCAGTATAAAACCCAACATTATTTTGAATTTGAAACATAATATGTAAGCATCTGCCTTGTGTTAATTACACAAAGTGCCTTCAGCCGACAGCACTATTCTGCTTAGAAGGACAGCATGGGTTCTGTTTTAATGGGTAATATTGAACGTCTGTTACAGGTTTTTTGTATATTGTAGTCTAAAGATTAAACACAGTGCTGTAACTATAAGACAAAGTTTACCAGTCTGTTCCTGCTAGTGTCATCTTCTGTCGCTGCAGCTGCTAAATAATACAGTAGCCTTTATATTGAAAACAAAGGTGGCTTTATGTTAAATATCTTGGAAGAAATGTAATGGTCAGTGGGAAACATATATAATGAGCTATTGCATACATTCTGTAAAATTAAGCTGAAAGCCGGGTAAGTCTTAAAATCCTGTGCTTTGAAAGAAAATAGCTAACACAAACAATAGAATATGTACGTACTGATGGTTGTATTTATATAGTGTCACCAGTGTGCATGTTCCTTTAGAGCAGAAAGAGGTTCCTGTGTAATCCATACTCTGAAAGAAGTGGAAACAATAGACAGATTGTTATTTGCAAATGGCTTAATTTAGAGGCTCTGAAATCAAAAGCCAAACTTAATTCAAACTAAACCTGAATAAGAAAACAATACACTAATTACCGGTAATCTTATATCCTGCTGTTTTGCTCAAAGGTGGGTTTGGATTATGAATTATTATTAAATATATTTATGTAGTCACCATTTATTGTGTGGCTTGCAACAAAATACTAAACACATAATACAGTGGTACCTTGGTTTGCATACGTCTTGGTTTGCATACGTTTTGGATTACAAACACGTCAAACCCGGAAGTGCGTGTCCCTGTTTGCAACCTTTTTTGGGATTACAACCCCCCTTTTTTTTATTACAAACGTATTTTTTTGGGAGGCCCCATTGGCAAAAGCGCGCCTTGGGTTACAACCTGTTTTGGTTTACAAACGGACCTCCGGAACAGATTATGGTTGTAAACCAAGGTACCACTGTATACAATAACCAATAAAACAAGAAACCTCAAAAAAAACTTCCTTGCGTTGAGGCAGCATGAAATAATTTACATCCCTGTTCTAAAACAGTTTAAAAGTTTGGGTGAACAAAAGGGACTTCAGTTGGCACTGAAAATACCACAAAGTCTCTGTATGACCATCTTTGGGGAGGCTGTTCCATAGCTGAGATGCCACGAATCAAAAGTCCCTTTCCTTGGTACCCCCCTGATTTGCTTTGCCTGCTGAAGCTACCCAGAGGAAGGCCTCCAAAGCAATATTAAGCTTCAGGTTGGCATGTGCAGGAAAAGGCAATTGGTACTTTAAATTGGGACTAGATTATTTTTGCAGGAAAGAATTGAAGGAAGCCTTGAGTTTAAGCACTCCTCCTCTCCTCTGGTATGGACACAAGTGGCCGTAAAGCTTTCTCTTCTCTTTTAGTTTAACCACTAGGTTATCTGAACTATGGTTTGTTGAAATAAGTTGTGTGTGTGTGTGTGTGTGTGCGCGCGCGCGCGCACACACACACACACACACACACAGCAACAAATGGCTCCTTGGTAGTCGCCAAAACAGAATATCTAGTTGCCATTTTGGGGCAAGACATATGTAAAGTTTTTTTTAAAAAAAATGACTGTCTATGATTGATTATACCAGCATGAGTTTGACCAAACTGCGGGAGGCAGTGGAAGACAGAAGTGCCTGGCGTGCTCTGGTCCATGGGGTCACCAAGAGTCGGACACGACTAAACGGCTAAACAACAACAATGATTGATTATCTGTTAAACCTCTGGCTAGTTCAGATGACAACCTAGGGCAGTGGTGGCCAAACTTGGCCCTCCAGCTCTTTCGGGACTACAATTCCTATCATCCCTGACCACTGGTCCTGTTAGCTAGGGATGATGGGAGTTGTAGTCACAAAAACAGCTGGAGGGCCAAGTTTGGCCATCACTGACATAGAGCTAGGTTAAGAACTTTGTGAACTTAAATAAAAGTCACTTGATCCAGGGACAGTCCATATATATATCAGCCTATTCCTCCCTCTTCTTAATGATGACACAGACCATTCATAATGTAAGAATATTCTTACATTACTGTGAGCAGGGCAGTGGGGTGGGGTAAGTGAAGGCAAACTACAACAATTAACTGTAATGTCGTTCACTGCTCCTGTTCAGGCTGCACAGAAAAAGCATTTTGGTTCCTGAAATTCATTCTAATTCTGCAGATAAAATATAACTGATAGAATTCTGCAGGATGTGGTGTCAGTGTGTGAAAACAGTCAAGATCCAATTATTCCCAGGCATGCACCTCCAGATGGTGGAGATGTCTGGCGCCGCCATCCTGGCACCCAGGTATTTTCACTTGGTTGCAAGTGGCCAATAGGCAGGTGCAAAATGTGCCTGGCTAACTTCGAACACTGCTTCAAGCCATAGGTTATAGGTTTGTCTCAATTAACCATAATTACAATTAAGGTGTGAATGTCATGACCAGTTGCAGTGAATCTAAAACAGAAGCAAAAGCTTCCAAACGCATTGCAGTTGTACCAGAAGAGGAAAGTGGGCTTGACTTGTTGAGAGTATAATTGCTGCATCAGGTATCATAGCTAATAGCTTTCCTTTGGGAGGGTAACTTATTATCTTCTGCAGGTTTTAAAAAAATAAAATAAAGACTTTGTCAGATTGGTTTCTTACTAGCATATTTCCTCTAGTAGACTCTTGACCCAGACTCTTGACTCTTGATTGAAGTGCATAACATTGGAAATCAGTTTTCTATTTATTTGAAGTACATTACTTTGCCCAACAGTTATCCCCTGATTCTAGGAAGTGTGGGATACTAGTTATAGCTCAATCTTTTGCAAATGTGTTTGGAAGTAAGTTATATTTTGTTCAGTGGAACTTGTTGGTTTTTTTTTAGAAAAGGGTACATAAGATTGAAGTTTCACCTATCAACAATAAGTGATTATTCACTTGAATAGTTGAATAATACTTGAATAGACCCACTGAAAGCAATAAACTTAAAGTAACATTTTTCTCGGGGGTGTAACCCATTCCATCCTCATTTAGATTGATCACAAGCAATGCTTTAAATGAGTGTTCACAAAGTTCACAAAGTTCTTAACCTAGCTCTATGTCAGTGATGGCCAAACTTGGCCCTCCAGCTGTTTTTGGACTACAACTCCCATCATCCCTAGGTAACAGGACCAGTGGTCAGGGATGATGGGAATTGTAGTCCAAAAACAGCTGGAGGGCCAAGTTTGGCCATCACTGCTCTAAACAGTATCTCCTATGCTTCCTTCCAGCATAAAAATTTCATGTCTTTACTGCAGATAAATGTGTAGCACAAAACATTTCTCAGTCTTGACTGTCTTTAATTGTTTTCCTGTTTTGTAATGTGCATTCTTCAGAAGACTGAACTTAGGTCTGTTGTGGATGTTTCCTTAGGTTGCATAGTTGTCACCTCCTCTCTGGTTACTGCTCTGGTGCTTTAGATAAGGGATATATTTCCTGCACATGGAACTAGAATAAATAGTGTGTGTCAGTGTGTAACAGTCTATGTAGTATTCTACCAGCTTTGGGATTGCTGATCTTAAATGCAATTAATTTTTCTTGAATAATTTTGACTGGGGAAATGTAATATGGTAAACCTAATGAAAATACAGCCCTAGTGGCTATGACATACTTAAGTACTGGCAGCCCAGAAAATACTCTAGTTTATGTTCCCTAACATGTTAACATGTTTCTTTCCCTTCCCTTAAGAATGTGAAACTGTCTGCTGAAGTAGAACCATTCATTCCTCAGAAGAAGGGTCCGGATTCACTTATGATGTCTATGGCGTTACCTACTGACAGTGGAGGAGTTAATGGCGTGGAACCAGCTCCTATTCCTAGCTACCTGATTACTTGCTACCCATTTGTTCAGGAAAACCAGTCCAATAGGTAATTAAATATATTCTGTGACTAAATAAATGAATGTAAACGTTTTCTGCATCTGCCATTTAGTTTTCTGTGTTCCCTAAAATACTGGGAAGCTTTCACACTAAACCTCAGCACTCAAAGCTGAAATTTTGTGCATGTTTTCTTGGGTGTAAGCTGTTCCAAACTTAGTGGCACTTGCTTCTGGGTAAACATGGGAGGATTAGATTGCATGTTAGTTGAAATAATATGGTTGTAGAAGGAACTTATTTGCTTTCTCTCCAGGTTTTTTTGGTTTTTTTTAACCATTCAGAAAAATCATCTGAATGAAAGGTGGTGAGGCTCAGACCTTCAAGCCACCTCTCAAATTTGCTATCTGTTAGAGCAGCGAAATTAGCTTCATGCCACTTCCAAAATGAGGCAGTGGCCTCTATTTGCTGCCTTCTTTGCATAGTTGCTGAGAATAGAGGAAAGGCAGAAAACTGCTCATATTTTCACTGAGCATAGGACTATGATGAACCCTCTGGAAACATCATGTAATTCAGGTCTCCCTTTGATGTTTAAGGCTGCAGTTGTAATCCTATTTACATGGAAGTAAGCACCATTAATTCAGCAGAATTTAATTCTGAATGGACATTGTGAGGACTTGGCTATAATTTTACCTGTAAAAACATAGGACTCCAATGCTGGTATAGCACTCAATATCTCACAATAGTGTAATACTTAGCTTGTGCAGTACAGTTTGGTGCAATTAGTTCCTCATCCCTAGAACTGGACAGCCATATGAACACAGTGGGGAAATGTATGTGGGATGGACAGCGCTTAGCACTTGCAAAATCTTTCTTTTTGGTTTTAAAGGAAAGAAGCGGTGCTGGTGGACTGTTGCACACTTAACCATTCAGAAAGTGCATTATTCTCTTCCTCTCCACAGGCAACTTCCGCTGTATAACAATGAGATCAGATGGCAGCAGCCCAACCCAAACCCTGCTGGTCCATACCTTGCTTATCCCATTATTTCTGCCCAGCCACCTGTGTCTGCTGAATACACGTATTACCAGTTGATGCCAGCACCATGTGCCCAGGTCATGGGCTTTTATCATCCTTTTCCAACCCCTTACTCAGCACCCTTCCAGACAACAAGTGCCATAAATACAGTCACTGCAGAATGCACGGATCGCCCAACCCAACCCAACCAGGTCTTTTCATTATGTAGCCAGCAGAGTAGAAGCTCCAACAGGGGACCAGCTGTGCAAAAAGTAAGTCCATTTAGCAAACAACATAATTGAAGGATGAATGACTAGTTTGGAATATATGTTTGTCAATACAGTCCAACCTTGGTCCTCAAACACCTCTGTTTTGGAACGCTTTGGCTCCCGAATGCCAAAAACCCGGAAGTAAATGCTCTAGTTTGCGAACGTTTTTCTGAAGCCGAACGTCCGACGCAGCTTCCTCTTGAGTGCAGGAAGCTCCTGCAGCCAGTTGGTAGCTGCACCTTGGTTGTTGAACATTTCGGAAGCTGAACGGGCTTCTGGAACGGATTACATTCGACAACCAGGGTTTGACTGTATCCATATCATTGTTGTAAAACACTATACTGGAAATGAAAATCCTATTAAAAAATATTTTACACCAGAAATAGAAAAATCAAGAAAATATTTTTGTACAGAGAATAAACTTTTTGAATTCTGCATGCCGTATTGGGGCAGCATAGAGCACAACCTCTCACTTGTTCTCTTCCTCGGTCTGCTTATGCCAGGCATGGCCAAACTTGGCCCTCCAGTTGTTTTGGGACTACAGTTCCTATAATCCCTGACCACTGGTCCTGTTAGCTAGGGATGATGGGAGTTGTAGTCCCAAAACAGCTGGAGGGCCAGGTTTGGCCATGCCTGGTTTATGCAATTGGGCATGCACAAAAGCCCAAGCCTAGGTGTTGTGTGTTGCTGATTCAAGACCTTTTCACATGTAGACACACATATATCATATTTTTTATCTGATACAGGTATCAAAACTAACAAAAGTTAAAACAAGTACTCCATATAAAATGCACCTTTCTGAAAGATAAAATAATTCCTTTTTATTGTTACCTGCTTAGGATTTGAGGATAAAGCAGTTTGAAAAAAATGAAGGACATCCTTAGCTCAGTGACCACCATATTCTGATGGCAAAATAAACTATCTAAAAAATAGCCTTCCAATATATTTTGCTATATCTAGTGCACACAGTTCCTGTTGAATTCAGTATGTTTTACACATGTGCAGTTGGAGGCAAGATTGTAACCACAATGTACACATCTGTTTCCTAGAGTAATGTAATGCTCACTGTTTTATTTTTTAAAAAGTGGTGCAGTATCAGCCTCATTTCATTTTTGGTGTTTCTGAAGTGCTGTGGTAAGATTGTAGTGTTGAACTCGATACATTTAAAAAACCTTTACCCTCCCTTCTTGAAAATCATGAATACCTCTAGCTCACATCCATGCAAACATGAATAGGTGTCATATTTATGTACAGTGGTACCTCTGGTTGCGCACGGGATCCATTCCGGAGCTCCGGTTAGATCCCGAGGAATTCGCAACTGAAGGTACCTGTTCTGCACATGCGCACAACACGGTAGAGCGCTTCTGTGCATGTGCGCGTGATGAAACCTGGAAAAATACTTCCGGGTTTGCCACATGCGTAACCCGAAAGATACACAACCAGAGGTGTGCATATCCAGAGGTACCACTGTACTTGCTTTTGAAATTTTATTTTTAAATGTGTTAAATGACAGTTCTTAAAAAAACACAGGCAGCCATATGGATGTAATATTTTTAAAAACTCTTAAAAGCCACCATAATAGTAAATTGCTGCTTTTGGCAAATTAATTCCAAAAGGAATTAATAGTGTTTAAGTGCTGCCTAACCTCTGCTTAAGATGTATTAAAAGCGGTTAATTTATCCATTTGAGTTACCCTTAATACTGTCTTCCATACTTCCAAGAATGATAGAATTCTGGACTATGTCCAATTCTTAATTATCATACTTGGACACCTACCAAAAGGTTCTCAATACATTTTTAAAAATCACACTTAACAGTTATACTTCAGTAAAGCACTGTTACTGAAATGTCAGAATTTCAGCAGCTTGACATGCTAGGCTTGGGTTCCAAACACGTTGCAGTAGCTGGAACATCAGAAGTGTGAATGTACCTAATGTAGAAATCGTAGTTTATTAGTTATCAGTACAGATAGATGAAAGCTGCTTAGCAAAATATGAAAGATCTTTAAACAATGGACTGTACTTGGTACTCATTATTTATTCATTGTTTTGTATGGAACATACGTTGATTTTTTTGTTAAAGTGCTGATTGATGTAAGGTTAGTTTCCAAATGTTTGCGGATAATATTCAATAATCTTCTGTGGTTATTTTCTATGAAAATTGTCTTTCCTAAACCAAATCCACTGGCTTACAAAATAAATCTCTTTCCTTGGCTAATCATTTTAAACAGCAACAACCTCCACAGATACACATAAAAAGCAAAAGGCCTCCAGTGAAAAGTGTTGCTATCCAGAAAGAGACCAGTGCGTCGGGCCCTGAGAGCAGACCTAAAATTGTACTCTTGGTGGATGCTTGTCAGCAAACAGGTACAGTAATATTCTATGCTTAAATGAAATTTCCTTGTACCTGAAAAGGTCCTTGTACAAAGCTTATATAGGAATATCTGTGATGGAAGTATTGGGTGTTCCTCCCATTCTGAGATGATATGCTTAATCTGCCATGGCTCCTGGGCAAGTCTACATTGGCTATTAGGCATCATTCAGGTGTTGTATCTCCCTTCTTTGCCACTAATATTTCTGTCTTTTTAAGTCAAATTTTATTCAGTTATTTTCTCAGAACATTGTCTTATGAACATAATCACAACTGACAGTATATTACTACTTTCAGTCTAGCTGTCCAAGTCCAAAAATGGTCCAGTGAAGACTAACTATGCTGAATGGTCACAGAATGCTGACCAGGGCAGAGTGGGAATGGAAAATGAGGAAGAAGGAATAGGGTCCTAAAAACAAGCACAATTAACTAGAATCTGGAACATTTCCCACACAACATAGCAACAGCTGTTCTTGTTTGTTTTTAGCATTTTGTATTTTAAATGTGCTGTTTTAGTTTGTGTAACACTCCTTGAGTCCCATTGTAGGGGGAAAGTGGATATAAATAAAATAAAAATAGATACCATCCATTGCCTATCTTGCACTTTAGAAACTCAAGCACCAAGGCTGTAGAAGGAAGGGGAAATTATTGCCATCTGCACCTGTAACAAAACTCTCTGGCAATGGGTTGTTCTAGATAGCTTTCTAGAATGCCTGATAATTCTATTACTATTGTGACAGCTCTTCCTAACTGCTTGTATGTGGAAGAAGACTAGGATGCTCCAAAGCACTGTTGGTTCTTAGTAATCCCACTTGCCTTGCCTTGCAGACTTTCCATCGGAGATCGCAAGCAAATCACTGTCAGAGAGTGTGAGCGCCATGCACTGGAAACCAAAAAGCAGGCGGCGGCGAACCTCCCACCCTGTGGAATCCTCTAGTGAGCAAGGGGCTAGCGAAGCAGACATTGATAGTGACAGTGGTTATTGCAGTCCTAAACACAGCAACCAGGCTGCTGGTGTGACCTCAAGGAGCACAGAATCTGCTGCATCAAATGTAGGTAAACGCCTGAAGTGTTTAAAAGGGATGAAGATGGCACAAAATAAGCAAAATCTTAAAATCTCTTCTTTTTTAAAATTTTCAGATGATGGAACCGTCAATACATCCAGGTAACTTTCATATATAGAGAGAGAGATCAAAAAATCTCAAGCATTCAAGCTTTGCTGTTTTTGCCAACATTCTCTCCCTAACAGCATCAATAAACCACCTTTTTTTCTATTGTCCCTCCGTCTGATACATATGCCAGGCCTGAGGTGAAAATTAAGCTCCATAAGAAATGCATATAAGGCTTCATTTTTATTTGTGCATTCCTTCCTTCTTACGTTAACACAATGCAAGTAACTTACAGTAAAGGAACAGATAAATGTTCGTTTAGAAAGAAAACATGTTATACTTGGCAGACAATGGGAGTAATAGCTATAACAAGCCACTTTCATTCAAAATTATCTGATGTGTGAACCATTAGAACAGGTAAAACTACTGAAAACAGGAACTAATTTTACAGGGTATATATACACAGAGCTAGATTTTGCACCTAGCTATCTCTCCTTATATGTATAACTTTCAGTACTGTTGGAGAATGGATATAATTTTTTTACACTTTGTTTTTCATACATGGAGTATTTCCTTAAATGTATGCGGTGTTTATTTCAGGAGCCGTCAGTTGGGCAAGTGTCAGTTCCCAAGCAACTCAGAAAAAGCCTTGGATAGAGAGAACCCCAGTTTTCTCAAGAGGTCGACGGCAACCTGAGCAGTGTACTAATTCACAGGTAACCTTTTACTATGAAAACCCTAAACTTAGTGTAATTTTGGCAGGTTAAGCAGGGCTGTACATCAGTTTCTTTAAAAGACTGTACTTTTAAAGTACTTTTAAAGTTTAAAGTTTAAAGTACTTTTAAAGTTTTGAAGTACTTTTAAAGTTTACCTGCTACTGTAGAAAGCAGGTAAAACTGGCAGACTTGTACCATACATTGATTCAGTGCTATAGAGGGCATTTGGGGACATCATTAAAGGGCATATGAGATTTAACGTCATGATAAGAGTTATTTCATGATAGAGTTGGGAAAAGTACCAGTCCATAATATGTTTTGGGTTGTTGTTTTTTTAATGCACGTGTAGCCTGCCTTTAGATGTAGGGGACATAGCACATCGTCAGAGAGAAGACAGAACTTGCAGAAGAAACACGAGAAGCCTATAACTATAAACCAGTCAAACAGAACAGAGCCAAGTCCTGAGCCCCTCTATTTTGAGGTAACATTTTTATTCATTCATTCATAGTAATTGTCACACAAAACCCTCACTGAAATTTTTGAGTGGACGATGGCGGCCTTGTAATCGGCTTATCATGTTTTGTCAGCTCCACTCCACCCTGTCTGCCTCTGGAAGAAGCAAACCATAAGGATTTGCTCAGTGTTACTTGCAGATCTTCTTTTATTTTATTTTTTTTATTTTCAATGTAGAATCATAACAAAAATTACAAACATTGAATCCAATATAATACTATACAAAAAAGAAACATACAAAAAAAAAAGAAAAGGAAAAGGAAAAAACCAAAGGAACAAAACTAAACAAAAACGAAAAAGCACACATCTACAGAAAAAAACCATATCATTACGTACATAAACACATATTGACTTCCTTCCTTTGTTCTAAGACCTCAAAAAATTTACTCTTACTATATTGTTGTGTCTAATTAGATTACTTCCACCTTTGTACTTTTTTTTTTTAACACCATTTTTCTTTTTCTTTAACCCTGTAAAGCATCATTCATTACGTACCAATATACTTACTCCAGAACAATGTTTATTCATATACTCTTTAGCACAACCCCATTCTTTTAATAATTTCTGGTCCGATTGTCCCCTTATGTATGCTGTGAGTCTTGCCAGATTTATGTATTCACAAAATCTGTTAGATGCAGATCTTGTGGTTTCTTTCTTTCTAAACAAACAATGTGTAGAAGCCAAGATTTGTTCCTCGCTTGCCATTTGTTTGGAAGAAGCAACCTGTGGTTACTGGTTCACACATCATCCTAAGCCAAGTTTCATGGTTTGTTTCTCCTGGAGGCAGGCAGAGCTGAACCCATGAACCTGAGCTCCATGCACCAGCACACTGTTTGTTCAGAGTGAGCCTTGGTTTTATTTTTGACCATGGATTATTGAAGTATATGGGGAACCTTGGGGCCCAAGGCAGAATGCCACCCTCCAGGTCTCTCTATCTCCCGTTTTGGCCTTGCTTCCTCCTTGAGCATTTTTGCCTGGCTCGCTTGTGTCACTGGACTCATTAAGCTTCTTGCTTGCTTGGATGCCGAACAAAGAGGGATTGGGGAGTGGGAGTGTGGAAATTATTGTACAAAGGTACAAATGACATCTGTTGCTCTTCCCTTTTCTGCTTCTGGCACTACCCTCTACTATCAGGTGGCCCCTGAAAGACTGCCCATGAAGACCTGTGGCCCTCGGGTTCCCAACACCAGGATTATTATTATGTTCAAAGAAGGCTGTTTTTGTCTCCTACATAATAGGCATGCTCATTTTGAAAGCATATAAACTTGCCTTTCAAATTTCGTTGTCACTTTTTAGTGTGTCCTAGCATCTTGCTGTCAGCATCTTCCCTTCTCTAATTGTTGCATGATGAGTGTCTCATGATTGGGCAGATTATTCTTTTTTAAGCATTGCAGAGTGGCATCTGCTAACTTCTGCTAATGGCTTAAGTGAGGCCTTGGTGCCTAGTAGAGATAGAGCCATGCAAACTTAATTCATTTCAAATCCTCCCAATATTTTTATTTAGGATGAAGACGAATTTCCAGAGTTAAACAGTGAAAATGGAAATTCCAAGGGTGGTAATATGCAGCTGAAACATGCCCCTAAAGTGGTAAGAGGCTTTTATAATGTAAATAGTATTTTGATTTAAATTAGCTGGTTTTCTTTGCTAGATATTGTGATTGACTATTGATAACGCAGCAGCAGTGAATGCTTCTATTCTGTGGGGGTGGAGAAAAAGAGAATGTGCTGGAACGAGGTGCAGAATTCAGTTTCATAAGAATATTTGCTTTTAAAGAAAGAAGCATGTTTCTAGCGCTTTATGGCTTGGATTATATGCACGAAAGTGTGAGCAATGTCTGCTGAAATCTCAAAAGCCAGAGGTGTGGAGGGAGCTTCAACACCTTGCATAGCTCGTTATTCTAGTCATGACTGGAGTAATAATTGGAATAACTAATGCAAAATAGAAGAGTACTGTTTCCCCCCCCCCTCCATGTGCATATACCAGCAGCAAGTAAAAAGATCCAGCCTTTCTGGAGTAAATCATTCATGCTAGTAATATTTTGAGTCTCTAGATTATTTATGAGTTGCCTTTTTCATGTGACCTAAAAGCCATTGCTAGAGGACTGCATCTGCCAAATCAAATAATTGCTTAGACTTAACTGAGATACTGTTTAAATAAAGCACTCTGACCACTTAGGGAGTCCTATATGAGTGTACTAAGTTGTGTGCTGATACAGTTGAGGTAGTTTGAGAAAGAAGGTCAACTTGGGCAAGTTTGTGATGAACTATGCTTTCTGTTGTAACACCTTTAAATCTGTGCTTTCCCTCCTTGTTCACCCTAGTTGGATGGTTTACCCGAAAATTCTCCAATCAATATTGTACAGACTCCAATTCCAATCACCACATCTGTTCCTAAACGGGCAAAAAGTCAAAAGAAGAAAGCCCTAGCAGCAGCACTGGCTACAGCTCAAGAGTATTCAGAAATTAGCATGGAGCAGAGAAAACTCCAGGTCTGTTCTTTTTTATGTTATAATCATGATTGGCTGCATATTTAAATCAGGACAAAAAAAATTCCTTCCAGTAGCACCTTAAAGACCAACTATTTAAATCAGGGACAGCCAGCTGGAAGCCTCCAGCCTGGGTACAATCGCCAAAGCAATCATAATCACCAAAGGAGCCCTGGTGAACTTACCAAAAAGTTCATACAGTCATACCTCGGGTTACAGCCGCTTCAGGTTGCGTCTTCTCGGGTTGCAGACTGCTGAAACCCCGAAGTACCGGAACGGGTTACTTCTGGGTTTCGGTGGCCGCGTATGCACAGAAGTGCTAAATCGCGCTTTGCGCATGTGCAGATGCGACAAATCACAACTTGTGCGTGTGCAGACGTGGGTTGCGAGCGCTGCGGGTTGCGAATGTGCATCCCGCATGGATCACATTCGCAACCCGAGCGTCCACTGTACAGCTTCACTTGCAAGAGGAATGTTCAAATTGTAATATTTCCTAGAATTACATCTCTCCTCCTAGGTTTTGTATGTACTTCCTTGGCTGTTGCTTGTAAGCACAAAAACATTATTGTTATATTGAACCAACGGTATCTTCTAGCACCCCACCCTCAGGAAAACAGATTAAACACCAAAATCAGGCATCCCCAACCTTCGGCCCTCCAGATGTTTTGGACTACAATTCCCATCTCCCTGACCACTGGTCCTGTTAGCTAGGGATCATGGGAGTTGTAGGCCAAAACATCTGGAGGGCCCGCAGGTTGGGGGTGCCTGACCAAGATCATGGGGAAGTTTATAATGCCTGGTTTAAGTTATGCCTCTGGTCACCGGAGGTGAACTGTACTACTTTTATTCTGATTATAGGAAGCAGTTTCAAAAGCAGCTGGAAAGAAGAGCAAAACACCTGTGCAGTTGGACTTGGGGGATATGCTAGCCGCTCTTGAAAAACAGCAGCAAGCTATGAAAGCTCGCCAGATCACAAATACCAGGCCCCTTTCTTACACAGGTGGGTACATCTCACTTGGCTGGTTTTTATAGCTACTCATTTCTCAGCCATTTTCCACCTAAGGCTAACCTGTGGCCCTCCAAAATCTGTTGGACTGCAGCGGCAATCGGTCCCAACCAGTGTGCCAAATGGTCGTGGATGATCGGAGTACATTTTTGTTATTCAGTAAATGTACCATCCTGTGTAAAGGATAAAGTCCTTAAATAAAGTCCGGTTGGTTTGCATATGTAATATTATATGTCAGTGTGGCTTATTATAGTTATAAAAAAGTATAGAATACAATAATGCATTAAAACCAGTACAACAACAACAACAACAACAATTTATTATTTATATCCCGCCCATCTGGCTGGGTTTCCCCAGCCACTCTGGGTGGCTTCCAACAAAAGATTTAAAATACATAAAAAACTTCCCTAAACAGGGCGGCCTTCAGATGTCCTCTAAACATTAGATAGTTCTTTATTACCTTGACATCTGGTGGGAGAGTATTCCACAGGGCTGGCACCACTACCAAGAAGGCCCTCTGCCTGGTTCCCTGTAACTTCGCTTCTCGCAGTGAGGGAACTTTCAGAAGGCCCTCGGTGCTGGATCTCAGTGTCTGGGCAGAGCAATGGGGGTGGAGACGCTCCTTCAGGTATACTGGGCTGAGGCCGTTTAGGTCTTTAAAGGTCAGCACCAACACTTTGAATTGTGCTTGGAAACATACTGGAAGCCAATGTAGGTCTTGCTAAGCTAGCAGCAGAAAGCAATTCCTTGTTACAAGTGACCACCTGCCCGTAAATGCTTTGGTGAACAGAAACATTTTCAACTGCTGTGGAAACTCATAAAATATAGACTACAATTATATTTCTGCTGGGAGTAAGTCCCATAGCCAGGGTGCTATCACAGAAAATGCCTTATATTGAGTCACTGCCTGATGCACTACAGTAAATGGCAGGACCTCCAGAAGGGCTGCTTCTTCATATCTCAGGACCTAGGCACCTACAGGAGTTTGGATTTCAAGTTGTTCAGGGCTTTATATGTCAACAGCAACACTTTGGATGCTTCTGAGCCCAATTCAGTCAGTGCAACTCTCTCATAAAACTGATATCACATGGCTTCAATAAGCTGCACCACTTGGCAGTCTGTCAGCTACTTTCTGCACTAGTTTACACTTCTGAATCCCCTAAAAGGGTGGCTCCATGTAGAGTGCATAATAATACAGCGCTATTAGGATCTTGGGGGGGGGGAGGGGAGCTATGGTTCAAATCTCCACTCAGCCTAATCTGGCTAACAGTGTTGCAAGGATAAAACGCAAGCCTTCGCAATTTCAAAAATGGTTTCTGTGTGGCAATCCTCCTTGAGTGTATGAGGCTGGCTGTGCAGTTCTTTGAAAGCCAGCCAAAGGAAGGTTCCTTTCTGCTAACAATTGAAATAACATACTATTAATTTTAAGGGACATACCCTGTTTCTGTTTCCTTGCTGAGCTAAAGTGTTCCTGCAAAACAGTAGACTAAACCGAATACTAGTTTAAAGCCATCTGGAAGCAGAATCGTTCCATTGTGTAACTTTCCTGTCATTGTTGACTGTTTTTGTTTCCAATGAGAGGAAAAGGCTTTGGTAACAAAAGCTGATGGGGGGGGTGATTGCTAATCTTGGTTTTCTTTCTGCAGTAGGGGTTAGAATAATGGTTGTCTTGATTTCATTCAGTTGGCAGTGCTGCACCTTTTCATGCCAAAGAACCTGCCAGCCGAAAATCCTTAACTAAAGGACAGCCGTCAGTGGGTTGTCTCAATCCTTTGGACTCCACTGCCCCAAAAGTGAAACGAGGAAAAGAAAGGGAGCTCTCAAAGCTGAAGCGTCCAACAGCACTTAAGAAGGTAAGCGGTCTCTAGAATGTTGTCTCTGGAAATGGTGATCATGAATCCTTATTTTTATTTTATTTTATTTTATTTATTTTAATGAAAGCAGGAGACAGGATAAGTTTCCATTCATGATCATGACATATTATTCCCCTCCCACCCAGATGATGGGAACAAGCAGAGCACCCAGGAATTCAACCGCTCAATCAATACCTTGATGTTACTTATTTCATGTCACTGGAGAGCCAGTGTGGTGTAGTGGTTAAGAGCGGTAGACTTGTAATCTGGGGAACCGGGTTGGCGTCTCCGCTCCTCCACATGCAGCTGCTGGGTGACCTTGGGCCAGTCATACTTCTTTGAAGTCTCTCAGCCCCACTCACCTCACAGAGTGTTTGTTGTGGGGGAGGAAGGGAAAGGAGAATGTTAGCCGCTTTGAGACTCCTTAAAGGGAGTGAAAGGCGGGATATCAACCTCCTCCTCCTCCTCCTCCTCCTCCTCCTCCTCCTCTTCTTCTTCTTCTTCTTCTTCTTCTTCTTCTTCTTCTTCTTCTTCTTCATCATCCCCAACAGATCCAAACTGCCTCAGTAAAGTGCTCGATTCAAAAAACAGTCTCCTTGCTCACAGAAACACAGTTCCCTTGATGAGCTGTTTTTCTCTTTGCCCCGCGGCATCTATTTCAGTGTTAATTCCCAGGGTTTGCCCACGCTGACTTGTGCTGTGGGCCAAGCTGCCAATCTAAGGGTTGCCTATATTTAAGGTCATCTTTCTCATTCAGTGGCCTCTCTGCAAAGGCTGATATGCTCTTAAGACCAGTTGTGTTATTTCTAGCAGATGAAAAGTGGACATTTTATGCCACAAAAAGCTAAAAGGTTATATTTGCTTGTTTCTTTTCAGCAGCTCCCTTGCATGCACAGCAACAACGCTGCCTCTGACTCTCCTGCACTCCACCCCCCGGGTCAGGCTTGACCTGGGAGTGCAGCTGCCGCAGCTGGGTGTGAGAAAGCTGCCCCTCAGTAGCTCCCTTGCGTGCCGGAGCCAGGCTTCAATGAGGGAGCATGTCATGGGGGGTGCCTGGTTGCGCCCCTTCCAAGAAATGTGCCTGGGGCTATGGCCCAGTTATGATGTCTGGGTTACAGGCTAGCCACATACTTTCTCTGTAAAAAGGTAAAGGTTCCCCTGACCGTAAGGTCCAGTCGCAGACGACTCTGGGGTTGCAGCGCTCATCTTGCTGTATAGGCCCAGGGAGCCAGCGTTTGTCCTCAGACAGCTTCCGGGTCATGTGGCCAGCATGACTAAGCCGCTTCTGGCGAACCAGAGCAGCGCACGGAAACGCCGTTTACCTTCCCACTGGAGTGGTACCTATTTATCTACTTGCACTTTAACGTGCTTTCGAACTGCTAGGTTGGCAGGAGCAGGGACCAAACAACGGGAGCTCACCCCATTGCGGGGATTCAAACCGCCAACCTTCCGATCAGCAAGTCCTAGGCTCTGTGGTTTGGACCACAGCGCCACCCACGTCCCCTACTTTCTCTGTACCAGAGAGCAGAAAACTTGTAATTACTATCCCATTGTTAACTGTGTAGGATATGGCCCATAAAAGGGGCAACATGCATTTAATGAACAACACAGCCTAAATGGTTTTCCTTTATGCTTATTTTGGGATCCTAGAAACTAGCCCCTCCTTTTTCAAAGATTTTTGCCATGTCCCAGGTACATTGAGATTGTTGAAATGGTTAATCATAAATACTGTTTTGCAGCTCTTCTAAATAATAGCCGTATCAATTTAAATACAGTGGAATCTTGGGTTAAGTTACCCTCGGGTAACGTAAACTTCGGGTTGCGAAAGCAGCAAACCCGGAAGTGTTTCGCCGTGTGTACATGCGCAGAAGTGTTCTACCGCTGTGCATGCATGCACAGAAGCGGTCTCTCTGGTTGCGAAAACTTTGGGATATGGCCGGACCTCTGGAACGGATCCCATTCGCAACCAGAGGTGCCACCGTACTTGATTATTGTTGCATGGTTTTATTTGCAGCTGTGTGAGCAAAGGATTTTGGGGGGAGAAAAGTTTCTCAATTCTGACTTATTTTCATATGTTGGTGTGTTTTCTTCTTAAAAAGAAAGCATGCAAAAGTCAGGCATAACAAGAGCTTGGATCCAGTGATGTCCTATGTTAGCAGAAAGGCACTTCAGCTTGTGCAAGACAGCACCACTGAATTATCCCAACTCTTCTCAGTCTTGCTACAACCTCCAGGGCCCTGTTCTGGGGGTCCATTGATCCTCCAGACTAGCTTTGAATGATGGGGTGGCGTCTAGCTTGTACAATAAGATTTTCTCTCCCCCATCTTTCAGATCCTACCCAATATGAAACAAAATAATACAGTTGTAAGGAGGCTAAGTTTACTATTGCACATACATACAAATGACAACTAATGGATTAGCCACTCCAGAGAGAAGGAAATTCAAATTTGCAATCATAAAGTATCATGTTCTTGAAATAAAAGATTGCATGTGCCACTGAGGAGGACAGCAAGATTTAAAATCATCTGGCAATTGAAATCACTATTTGCCCTAAATATTGGCAGTTAGATTTATTATTCTCTGGTTTGCAATAAGGATATAATTTTTTAAATAATGTGGTTAATCTTTTCTTTTAAAGAACTATTTTGTTTTAGAATATTTGATTATGTATATGATACTAATCTTAGTAACGTATTGTATATTATAATATATTCCCAACTTTTACATTGTTTCCTAATTTTCTTTTGACACGGGTAATTTTCCTTTCTCGTGGTGTTTATAAAAAATACAATTTTTTCTCTGCTGTCCCTTCGTTGTTCAGAACATCCACCCACTTCTGAAAAATGACTTGCACTTACGAACAAAAGATCCACTTTAAATTTGCTATCCCTTTTTCTACAAAGCAGCAAGCTTATTAATTTTTAGAAGAAATTAGCATTGCTCACATTATCCTAAACTGTCTCTCCACCCCACCCCACCCAGATTATCTTGAAAGAAAGAGAAGAAAAAAAGGGACGCTTATCTGTAGATCATACCCTTCTGGGAGCTAATGAAGAACAAGAGGTGAATCTGACTCCAAATCAGTCAGAAGATGTAGCATCTCAAGAAGGTCAGAACTCTAAAGATTGAACTGAAATATCTGTCTAGATACAGTAATATACTTTACAGTATTCCCTGTGTGCATGTGTGTGCCCTTGAACATTTTTTTTGTTTGTAATTTTAAGTAGAGTTACTAAATCAGGAGCTCTGTCTTGCCTATGGCAAGTATTGTTTTACTTAGGAATTTGGACCAGAAGGGTCCAAAGCTTTGTGCATGTTTTAAATCTGAATTGTAAAAAAAAGTCACTCCAGAAGCTATTTTAGCCTTTCAAGAGCAGTAGGAGTCTGTGGATAGGCAGCTGAAGAGCCTCTACAGCAGGCTTCCAGATATTTTTGAGACTACAATTCCCATCATCCCTGACCACTGGTCCTACTAGCTAGGGATCATGGGAGTTGTAGGCCAGAAACATCTAGAGGGCTGAGGTTGAGGAAGCCTGCTCTATAGTAACATAGTCCATGACTCGGCAGCCTCAACATCTCAGCCTATAAGTTTTAAAAATTTGTTAGCTGTAGTTTAATATTTTTTCTCCCAACTGAAAACAAAACAAAACAAAAAAAACTAGCACAGCAACCACATGGTGTCAGTGCACCATTGTTTTGATGCACAAAAGCTGGATCTGTCAGATCATACTATTGGCTAGTCTGGTTTACGGTGTTGGGTTCTTTTGAAAGTGTCATGGTGGCGTGAAGGAATGATATGTTCCAGTGATCCACGCAGGTGCTGTTTTTGACTTTATTATTTTCCTGTTACAGAAACCGGCTTGAGTGTGCCGAGTGACACCTCACTCTCTCCGGCAAGCCAAAATTCTCCTTACTGCATGACTCCGGTATCCCAAGGCTCACCTGCCAGTTCAGGAATAGGTAGCCCAATGGCTTCTTCAACCATCACGAAGATTCATAGCAAGAGATTCCGAGAGTAAGAGCTGTTTTTAAAAACTAACCTTCTGCATCACTTGTCCAATAAAATGTGTATTACAATGTAAGTAGAACGATAGAATTGTAGAGTTGGAAGGGATCATGAGGTTCATTTAGTCCAGCTCCTTGGAATGCAGGAATCTTTTTGCCCAGTGTGGGGCTCAAACCCATGACCTTGAGAGTAAGAGCCTCATGCTGTACCAACTGAGCTACCCCACAGAGTTTAATGGACCAAAAAAACCCCAAGTTCAGCCCATGCTGCAAAGCATGACAGTTGCACTTAAATAAATTCCAGCTATGCTATGCATAGTGTATCATAGACAGGAGAGAAGGTATCTGCGGCCCAAATATATTTAGATAGCTTAGTCAAGTCATAACTGGAAGAGATGACAAAATAGGTACAGTGGTGCCTCGCAAGACGAAATTAATTCGTTCCGCGAGTTTTTTCGTCTTGCGATTTTTTTCGTCTTGCAAAGCACGGTTTCGGAAAAGTTTTGGAAAAGCTTCAAAAATCAAAGTCTTCAAAAACCTCAAAAAATGCTACCACACCGCGTGCTATGAGTTGCTCCTCGAAGTCAAGTCGCAACTGTATTAACGGTGTTAAGAAAAAGGAAACAAACTTGCAAGACGTTTCCGTCTTGCGAAGCAAGCCCATAGGGAAAATCGTCTTGCGAAGCAGCTCAAAAAACCAAAAACCCTTTCGTCTTGCGAGTTTTCCGTCTTGCGAGGCATTCGTCTTGCGAGGTACCACTGTATTCTTAGCCAATCCTGATGAGAGAGGATTTTGTAAATTACCCCTTGTGACAGACCACGTGAATTTGCTTTACCTTTCTGTTTGAGTTCCTGGGGTCACTTTGAGTGATACTAGGTTTTGGTATTCTAGATACCAATAGTTGGTTCTCTGAATGATTTTAGGATAGATTTTTTTGGGAGATCTTTTAGTTTAGCAGGCTTGTATCAGAAACTTCTGTGCCACATTCTCTGCTAGTTTGAAATTCGGAATAACTGACAAAATAAAAACAATGATTCTAAAATTACACAAAGTTGTAGACATAAATATTAAAAATGGCAAATATGCCACGAAATATCAAGATAAGCCTAAATATGTTCAATGAAAAGCTCTTTTAAAAAGGAATGCTTCAGCAGCCAAAAATATAGTGGCCAGGCAGACCTTGTGTAGAAGAAAATGCCCTTTCCAGCATCTTCCCTAACCTCACCTTAGAAAAGGATGGGGCATACGGTGTGGTCTGTCCTTCTGTTTTAAAGCCCTCTCTAAAGTATGAAGGTCCTGCCCTGATCATGGCTTTAAAACCAGCACCATAATTTGGGCTTGGAAACAATTAGCTCAAGGCAGTTGTGCTAAGATAAGAGGCATTCATTCTCCATGGTCCAGCAAATATGATGCAGCAGGAATTTGCACCAGCTGCAACTTCTGGATAGCGTTCAAAAGCCAGTCATATGTGATATTTCAAATTACCAAGCACAGGTAACAGAGACCAGAGCTCCATCAGTGAAGAAGAGGGTCCAATTGGCTCACCAACTATTCCTGGATTCCTGTGATATTTTGCCCTTTCACACAGCACTTGTAAATTACATTTGTACATGTTCTCAGGTGCTTGAAGTCATCTTGCCACTGAAAAACAAAATGAGCAAAACTATTTTCAAGTGACATGGAAAAAGTATGGAAGGCCTGCATTTAAGGCAACCTTGTAAATAACCTCAAGGAAGATACTAACCTCCAAAATACTTTATTACCCTGCTGGTGGCTCAGTTCTTTCTCCACTCTACCTTTGTGTGGATTCAAAAGGAGAAATGGAGTGCTTGGTCATCATTAACTTGCTTGCAGTTCCTTATTTCCTGTGGCTACCAGGTGACAAATACAAGGCTGACCAAAGAGCGAATGTGGTGGCTTGAAATTGCTTTTTAAACATTCATAAGCTGTGATTGGAGCTTAAGTAACACAGAGGTACACTACTTGCCAGGGCTTTTTGCTTTTTTTCTATAAAAAAAGAGGTGGTGAAACTTGCTGAGGTTTTTAAGGGGAGCACCCACCCAAAGCTGTTGAGCTTTTTCCAGCTGAAAATAAGCCCTCTACTTGCAGTGCAGATAGAAAGGCTTTAAAGTGATCTTTAAGTGGAAGACCAGGGTTCAAATCTGGATTTGTCCATGAAGCTCCCTGAGCCAGGCATGATCTCTCGGCCTAGCCTACCTCACACAGTTGGTGAAAGAAAATAAAATGATGAAGGGGAGAACCATGTACACCATAAGCTCATTGAAAGATAGGTGTGTTGTACATGCAATGATTAAAATAAAATAAATATATAGCTTTGGGCTACTTGGCAGATTAAAGTACCTGGGTATTTTAACACGAGCTCTTCTCTCATATAGAGGGATGAGCTAGAGGACTTCAGAAAAGTGTTTAAACCCTTGAGGAAAGGATAGTGAAAGCAGTTTGGCCTTCTTGAACTTTGTCTTATTGTATCCCTTCTGACTTTACAGGTACTGTAATCAAGTTCTAAGCAAAGAAATAGATGAGTGTGTGACCCTCCTGTTACAAGAGCTTGTCAGCTTCCAAGAACGAATTTACCAAAAGGACCCCATGAGAGCAAAAGCAAAGAGGAGGCTTGTGATGGGTTTACGCGAGGTTACCAAACACATGAAGTTAAACAAGATCAAGTGTGTAATCATTTCTCCAAACTGTGAGAAAATCCAGTCAAAAGGTATTAATGATTATCTCTGGTGGACCACCTTCTCTTATAGCTTCGGTCTGGTTCTCTGCTTCAACATGGAATCATTTTTTTTTCTTTTTGCCTATGCTGTTTTTTATTCTGCAGGGCACTGAGGGGCTTTCAAAGAGCTGTGTGCAGAGTACCATGTGCACGCTGGGGCTTTTCTGTCTCCCTTTCCTCCTGCAGCTCCTTTCACCCCTTGAGAAGCCACTGCAGAGGAATGCAGAATGATTTTGTGTGGCGCAGAGCCTGCCGATGGGGCAGGGGTTGTGGAGAGAAGACACGAGCGGATGTCATGACATGCACACACTTTTTATGCACTTTCTACTTGCACAGGAGGAGGGATTGCAACCTGGCTCACACATAGCGTGAAGCCAAAACTGGCTTAGCACAAAATAAGTCCATGTGTGGGCTTCCGGAGAGGAGATCATGGCTGCTTTGCTTCTCTCCTCCAGTTGTTCTGCTGCTGCACTAAGGCATAGTCCGCCTTAGCATGATGTTTGAACTTGGGCTCATGGTTTAGCACACTCCAGACAAAACCACAAGCTGTAACCAAAATTGGTCTGGTTCAGACAATACGTTAAGCCAGTACAAGTTCAGTGCGACATCTCTGTGGAAGCCCACACATCTGCCCATTTGCAATTTGGCTTGGCATTGTCCTAACAAGGGCTTTATATTTTAATTGAACTTCCTGTCTAAGGCCTTTAGACTTTTTCTTTAGAACCTTGTCTTACTGATAAAAATAAGTTGGCTTAAAGTAGCAATTTAGCCTTCATTTTATCCGTACGTATGTAGCATCTTAAAACTGGCAAATTATATTTAATTATATGACTGAATTTTGAGCTGCAGCCAGTACCAACTTCCTGACTCATGTGCCTGTGTGCTGCGGGTTTTTGTGACATCCACATTTTGTGTTTTATTTGGTGTGCTCTTAAATCTTAGCTCTTTGCCTAAAATGCAGAATGTGTAAAAGGTTTTTATAGTTCATCATCCTGTGCTGTATGTGCTGCATTGGTATAGTTTTAATTGGTTGGAAATGTGTAGTTGGACCTAAGCATTTGATTATTGATGTAAAGTTAGCAGACTTTAAACTAGTTATGAGGAAGTTCTTCACATTTTAATCTTATGTTGTTCTCCCGACATGTACCAAGGTGGACTGGACGAAGCTCTGTACAACGTAATAGCCATGGCACGGGAACAAGAAATCCCCTTTGTCTTTGCCCTGGGTCGTAAAGCTCTTGGTCGTTGTGTGAACAAGCTAGTTCCTGTTAGTGTGGTCGGGATCTTCAATTATTCAGGTGCTGAGGTAAGAGCATATAAATCAACTCTGCCACTATGGTGTGAATTCTTTCTGTTTCACTGAGTTCCTAAGATTACAGTGGTACCTTGGGTTACATGCGCTTCAGGTTACATACGCTTCAGGTTACAGACTCCGCTAACCCAGAAATAGTGCTTCAGGTTAAGAACTTTGTTTCAGGATGAGAACAGAAATCGTGTTTCAGCGGCGCGGCAGCACCAGGAGGCCCCATTAGCTAAAGTGGTGCTTCAGGTTAAGAACAGTTTCAGGTTAAGAACGGACCTCCGGAACGAATTAAGTACTTAACCCGAGGTACCACTGTATTCATAATGGTGCCTGACCTGTGCCACATACCCCATTACTGAGCTTTGTATGTGTTGCGTTCTCCACATCTTTGAAGTAACCCAGACCAAATCCTCCTCTTCGCACACGTCCATGCATCCCAAAACGTGAAGAGGACTGCCTGCCCATCAAATGCGATACACAAGAACCATGAGAGTAGTGTCAGGCTCCTGCTTTCAAATGAGCACTCTTGCAGAAATCTGATTGGTTCCTTCACAGAATTTCAAAGAATGACAGGAAATGAGCTTGGAAAAGCAGCGGGCTAAAAATACACTAAAAGCACTTACCCATTTTTGACACGTGAATATGGGCCATATCCGATATTAAATGTGTGTCTTTTTTTCTCTTAATTGGAAGAGAAATTGGAGCGAGAGCCAGAAATCTCATCTTCATTAAATATTAAGGAAAGTGGCTCACAATGTTTTTACAAAACGTAAGTGTCATATTCACTAGGGAGTGCTCTGTTAAGTAAAATGATGCTTCCATTTTGCACTAAGCTACACCATGCAGTGGAACACGCATACCCCTGCCCCCCCCATTTTCAAACTAGCCTTTATAATTCAGATGTAATCAAAGGATCTTATTTGATCTACATTTTATTGCCATGCCTAATTTTAGTTGGCATGTAGAATTTTAGCTGGTGCAGAACTAGAATGCTTTTTTGCTATCACTATAATGAATTTCTTCAGCCAAGTGATACCCTTATGTGGCTAGGATCTAGGGATGAATTCCAGTCCATGGTAATTTAATAATAATAATTTATTATTTATACCCCGCCCATCTGGCTGGGTTTCCCCAGCCACTCTGGGTGGCTTCCAACTGAATATTAAAAACAATACAGCATTAGACATTAAAAACTTCCCTAAAGAGGGCTGCCTTCAGTTGTCTTTTAAAAGTAAAATAGTTGTTTATTGCCTTGACATCTGCTGGGAGGACGTTCCACAGGGCAGGTGCCACTACCAAGAAGGCCCTCTGCCTGGTTCCCTGTAACCTTACTTCTCGCAATGAGGGAACTGCCAGAAGGCCCTCGGCACTGGATCTCAGTGTCCGGGCTGAACGATGGGGGTGGAGACGCTCCTTCAGGTATACAGGACCGAGGCCATTTAGGGCTTTAAAGGTCAGCACCAACACATTGAATTGTTCTCGGAAACGTACTGGGAGCCAATGCAGGTCTCTCAGAACCGGTGTTATATGGTCCCGGCGCCCACTCCCAGTCACTACTCTAGCTGCCGCATTCTGGATTAGATGTAGTTTCTGGGTCACTTTCAAACGTAGCCCCATGTAGAGCGCATTGCAGTAGTCCAAGCAGGAGATAACCAGAGCATGCACCACTCTGGTGAGACAGTCCGCAGGCAGGTAGGGTCTTAGCCTGCGTACCAGGTGGAGCTGGTAGACAGCTGCCCTGGACACAGAATTAACCTGTGCCTCCATGGACAACTGTATGTCCAAAATGACTCCCAGGCTGCGCACCTGGTCCTTCAGGGGCACAGTTACCCCATTCAGGACCAGGGAATCCCCCACACCCGCCTGCGCCCTGTCCCCCAAAAACAGTACTTCTGTCTTGTCAGGATTCAACCTCAATCTGTTAGCCGCCATCCATCCTCCAACCGCCTCCAGGCACTCACACAGGACCTTCACCGCCTTCACTGGTTCCGATTTAAAGGAGAGGTAGAGCTGGGTGTCATCTGCATACTGATGAACACCCAGCCCAAACCCCCTGATGATCTCTCCCAGTGGCTTCATATAGGTATTAAAAAGCATGGGGGAGAGGACGGAACCCTGAGGCACCCCACAAGTGAGAGGGGAAGGGTCACGGAGAAGTCCAGTTGCACCAGGAAGTGATCCGACCATGGCACTTCTTTTGTTTCGCTTTTAGTTAGTGTCAGATCACCAACATCCGTAGAGGTAAACACCAAGTCTAAGGCATGTCCGTGGCTATGAGTTGGGCCAAACTTATTCAGGGACAGCCCCATGGAGGCCATGCTTTCCACGAAGTCCCGAGCGGCCCCTTGTAAGGTCGTGTCGGCATGGATGTTAAAATCCCCCAGGACAACCAAGCTAGGTGTCTCCAGGAGCACATCCGCCACGACCTGAAGCAGCTCGGGCAGGGAATCCTTGGTGCAGCGGGGAGGTCGGTACACCGTTCTGTTTCTGCATTAAGCTGCAATTTGAGAGAGAGTGTGTAAACTTAGTTTATCTCAGCACATGCATGTCTAAATATGGATGGTATTCAGCTAAAGTTTACTCAGAGTAGACCCATTTAAATTAATGAACCTGACCTAAGTTTAGGTCCATTAATTTCATTGGTTGTACTCTGAGTAAACCTTACCTGAATACCTCCCACTTAATTCTAAATTACATTTGTAATGCATTTTATTGCATTTTGGGTGACTGACAAACCCAAATCTTGGGATACAAAAGAGCAAAATCCAGACTATAATTCTGTTCCATTCCACATGTTAGTGTCGGTTTGTATCAGCATTCCGAGAAAACAGATTCCTCAAACATCCCTCAAAGACCATTGTCTATGCCTCTAGCCAGTGTGCAGTTCTTTCCCTGTGGATCTATAAACTTGAGGCTATCAGTAGGTAAGGTTACTACTGTTTCAACTATCTCCTTCTGAACTACCATGGTACAGTCTTTGGGTCGCAGAATGAGAGGCTCATTGGTTTCCCTCCTCAGATTCCTTAGGCACCTGTATTATAATGCAATGCCTTGTTTCAAGACAACTTGCGACACTAGAGTGTCCTGCCTTGAAAGCAGGGGACCTTCCAATAAAGAGATGCAGATAACAGGGTGGTCTCTTGGGGTAGCCTTTATCTCTTGCTGGGGTCTTTGTCTTTTAGAACCTCTTCAACAAATTGGTGTCACTGACAGAGGAGGCTAGGAAAGCCTATCGGGACATGGTTGCAGCAATGGAGCAGGAGCAGGAAGAGGCCTTGAAGAACATTAAGAAGGTGCCCCACCACATGGGGCATTCTCGGAATCCTTCTGCAGCAAGTGCAATTTCATTCTGCAGTGTTATTTCAGAGCCCATTTCAGAAGTGAATGAGAAAGAGTACGGTGAGTGCATTTTCAAAACAATGCTTATGTAGCAGAATCGTACTGAGAGTGAGTTAGCTGTCAACTTTTTTCCTTTTCCCCTTCCTTTAATGTTGATGATCTGCTTATTTTATGATCATGAAGCAAATTTTGGGGGGTTTTCTGCCCCTGTGGCAGATTGGCTAGTGGCTTTGGGGGTTTTTTGCCTCGTTTTTTGTGGCCTCGCACTCCGAATTGAGGCACCTGGATTGTCTGACTAAACAGGAGTTGCCTTCTGGTGTGAGATGCTCGATTTGCTCCTCCACTCTTCTTGCGGCACACTGGTTTGGATGACAAGATTTGTGTGTAGGGGTTTAATTTTTTGATGTGGAAGTGAATCAACATGTGCGGGAGGACACCTTGCAAGCAGGATGATAAACTAGATGGTCTCTACACTCAACCCAGCCATAGATGTGGATATTCCTGTAAATGTAAGTTTGTTTGATGTGACTGACTGAAAAGAAAAACCCCTTACTCCAAAGTAATGCAGCCCTGTGAAATAGGCCTCAACTCATTGCCGGAACATATGTTCTTCTTGCAGAAGCTCCTTACTAGTTGTCGCGAGCAAAATGCATTGAATTGAGTGGTAAAGCCCACCTGGGTTTAAATAAAATTAGGAACATAGGAATCTGCCTCATGTCCACACTGACTGGCAGCAGCTCATGGGGATTTCCAGCAGGATTCTCTCCCAGTCCTTCCAGCAGATACGAGGATCAAACCTGGGAACTTCCAGACACAGTTCTGTTCACTGGAATACTAGTTAGAATGGCTTTTTCATTTCTCTCTCTCTCTCTCTCTCTCTCTCTCTCTCTCTCTCTCTCTCTCACACACACACACACACACACACACACACACACACACACAGAGAGAGAGAGACAGACAGACAGACAGACAGACAGACAGACACAACCCCAAAGCTTGGTTTTCTACGGAGAGCTGTTTTTCATTTAATTGATTCTTAAACAACTTTAAAGCAATTAACTGGAAGCCTGCATGCACCCCAATATTCTACAGTGTTAATGTTAAGCAGCTAGCAGTGGTGCATAGAACCTAACCGGTGTTCTATACTTCCTTCTCATGGCAACACATCTGACTGCAATTTCTGTTTTTTGCCATTCTCTCTTCCCCACCCTACCTTACCCCAAGATTGATATAACTGAATTGGAGGGGGGGGAAACCTTTTCTCTGATACCCCCTGAGAAAAGTTCTAAAACTGCACTTTGTTTTTGTGTGAGGGTGAGTGGAAAGTGTGTATGTGTGTGTGTAACAACTGTTTTAAAAAAGAACAAAACCACACCTCTTTCTGCGTGTCAACCATTCCCAATCTTTTCTGCATTTCTTCCCCTCCCCAGAAACAAATTGGAGGAACATGGTGGAAACATCGGATGGATTGGAAACTTCTGAAAACGAAAGAGAGGCCTCTTGTAAGGTTGCTGCTCCAGAAAAGCCCGACAGCAGTAAGGCTGTTGCTAATAAGCAGCTGTCTCTAGCATCTGTTGGGGTTGTTGCAGTCACAATTCATGGGAAAGCACTCGGTGGCAAGGAAGAACCCAAACCAGATGACAACCTGGAATGGGCCTCGCAGCAAAGCACAGATACAGGATCTTTGGATGGCAGTTGCAGGGATATTTTGAACTCCTCCATGACCAGTACAACCAGTACCCTTGTCCCAGGAATGCTTGAAGAAGAGGAGGATGAGGATGAGGAAGAGGACGATGACTACACCCACGAACCTATATCTGAAGAAGTTCAACTCAACAGCAGAATTGAATCTTGGGTCTCAGAGACTCAGCGGACTATGGAAACGCTTCAGCTTGGGAAGAGCCTTAGCAGTGCAGAGGATGAGAATGTTGAGCAAAGTGGTGAGGAGGAAGAAGCCGAAACTCCCGAGCAAGTGGATTCGGTCGTCGACAGCGAGGAATGGACAATGGATAAGCATGCAAGTAAAGCCCAGCAGAAGCCTTCAGTCTGCAGTTCCCTGGAGACGAAGCTTACGGACTCAAACTATATACCATAAACTCGAGCACAAACTCAGGAAACATTAATATTTTAAAAACTAACTGTTGTAAGGATTTCAGCCATTGCTTTGTGTGCTTCATCTCAGCATTTTGCACTGTGTAACGTTTAATATGCATATTTAATTCACAACATAAATATTTTTTGTAGCTGTCTTTATTACTTTTTCCATTAAGAGCTAGCGTGTATGTGCATGTGTGTAATGACTATTTATATCTTCCTCAGAACAGATTATGTGTGTTGAAACTGTCAGTAGGCATCTTTTTGTATGAGAAAACTATTTGCAAATGACCATTTTTATGCAAAATTATTCTCAAACTATAACTTAAAAGTTCTTACACTTTCTAGCCTGGCAGTAGTGACCAATATTTGCTTTGTCATTCTATTATCTTGAAATTATTTGACCACATCTACGTGTACCAGAATTTGGGCCAGAATTAATCTTTCCAGGGGCTTTTATCCTTGCTGATAAGAGTTAGAAAGATGCATATTAGTTAGTAACTTAACTTCAAACCTCTTCTTACTGGCCTCAGGATATTCGTCTCAGAAATATACTCTTGAAATGCTGGTTATAACCATCTAAAACAATTTGGCAAGGCACCTTCGGAAAGAGAAATCTTATTTCCATTTTGATTCACTATCATTGTCACTGTGCCTATAGGACTGTCACAAGGGGACCCATTAATCACAGCTACTTTTCCTTGTTGGGTTTTGTTAACTTTACTGTTTGCGGTTTTCACTTATCTCAGGAATGCTAATATAAATTTATAAATGCTATGTAAATGCAGACACTGAATTGGATATTGATCATTCAGCAGAAAGCAAGGTGGGCCATTGAGGCTCGATTTATTCGGGTAAAAGAGGGGAAATTTGTGCATGCGATGCTCTTGATCACCTCTTATGTTTTTAGCTTGGGATCAGTCATAAAAGTTGGGGTCAGTCATAAAAGTTGGTTCTTGTTGATGAGGTGAGCTCTTCTGTAACAGCAGGAGTTCATAATAGAGAGCAGGCAGAATTTATTTGGTTTGGTGGGAAATCAGTTGGTTTGGTGGGAGAAAGTCAGGCTGCTTTGCTGTTAACATAAAAAAAACAAAAGGCTTGTCTAACTTCTGCATGCTCTGCATCAAACTTTTGCCCATTGCAGAACATCGAATTGTACCCAGATAAGCTGCATGGAAAAAAGAAATCCATTAATGGTAAATGTAGAAGGGTTGTATACTCATTGGTAGTGCAAAAAGATATGCTTTATGAAAACATGGACTTCCAGCGATTATTGAAGTATTTCACAGTTAGGTTGTTCACTTAATTATTGGGACCAATAGTTTCAGCATTTTCATAACTAGCTTATTATATTGTACGGACAAAAATCTGATACAGTGTCTTAAAATCTCATATTGTCCATCATGGAATGTAGCAGAATAAGCCAGTTTGAGTATTTGTGCAAGAAGCTCTTTGGAATATATGGCTCAGCACATGTTAGACAGAAAAAGTCTTGGAGTTTGGCTGTCACAGGATGTGAGTAGCCCCCTCCCCCCGGCCCCTCTAAGTGCTAGCAACTCATATTAGGTACCTTTTTAAAAAGGTTCGTCTCTTTTTCAGAACCTGCTTCATCCTATGGTAATATACATAAAAGTAAAGTACATTAAGTATTTCCACTTTTTCAGCTGTTGGTTTCAAATTCAGTCAAGGCATTCTTCCCAGTTCGCTACCAGATGCAAAATTGCCTGTCCAAAAATTGCAACAAATCTCAGTGCAAACAAGACATAAGTGTAAGGAAGCCACCCTTTAAAAATAAAATAAAAAAAATGTTCATCCTGAAAAGTGGCAGCTGAGCCTCCAGTGGAAATGGAATATCTCTGTGTTTGTATGCTTGTGAGGTTATGTTAGCTTGTATTTAATAAGGTTTTTTCTGGTGGTAGTATAATGAGGTGTATGTGATTCTGTCATCTTCTGTAATGAACACCCACATTCTGTTCCTTTTGATGAGTTACCTTATCTTTCAGTGCCACAATAGTTCCTGTTTGTTTGGGTTTTTTAAGTAGCACAATTTCTATACCGGCATAAAAAGTAGATTCTAACGCACGGTCAAATGGTGTTTCTGCTTTCGTAAGTAGGTTCAAATTTAGGACATGTTCAGCAAATATCTGTGCTCTTTTAAAAACTTGTTTAGCAAATTTTACCAGAATTTGTGGAAGGAGATGAGGGTTGCAGGGTGGGGAAAGTGCACAATGGGATAGACCTTCCTTTGTTTGAAGTGACTATGTGATGAAGTATTAAACACTCCAGTATTTGGATGAAAATTAGCTTACCCTGGAAAATGGAATGCCTGGTGAGCTATTGCACTTGAGCCTTTGGCAGGCCAAACAAGATTTTGGGGTTTGTAGGCTGCTAATGCAATGCTTAATTCTTTCAAGTTTATGGTAGCCAGTAAACCCGATTTAACTTATTCCCTCTCTTCTCTGGATTAAATTTCAAACTGTATTTGCAGACTAGAAGCTTGATCAGTGACTGGTGTGGTGTGGCGTTCTGCTATTTTTAACATGGAAGAAAAGGTCCTTTTGATTAATGCACTTGTGTGAATTTTGAACTCAGTACAACACAGGGAGAGATACCTTGGAATGTTAATTGGGTGGGTGGATGTACACAGTATAGTTGAGTCCAGTTCTTCAACTGGAAGTTATTAAATTTTAATAGCATGGAGCAAAAAGTATTGTTTGAAAAGCTGCTATTTGCTGAAATTGTCATAATATTTTGTGTGTGTGATGTGCCAACTAATCAAGTTATTCAGTCAAGTTACCAGATTTTAATCACTAATTCAATAGGAAGACTTTTTTAAAAAGTTGCAAAGCCATAAATGGAAATTGTACAGCTTTATATACCCAGACCTGCCCAGCAGAAACAGTAAGAAAATGTCTAAACTTAAAACAATTAACACTTTTAAAAAATCAACTTAATGGCACAGCCCAATTAATGTTAATATATGGTTAATGTATTTTTAAAAGACTATAATAAAGTAATGTCTGTTAATCTTTGATACCTTTACATTTGTAGTAACAGAACGTGGGTTTAAAATAGAAAATCATTATGAAATTACTTCATGAACAGGTTCTGTCTGTTTTTTTTCTTTTACGAAGGATAATTGTTCTGTCTACCATACCTTTTTGAGTAATAACAGCTTTTTGCACTATGTAAATACTAGTGGGGGTTCTTCCATGATGAATAAAAATGATTATAAAAAGTAATGGTGTGGTGTGCTTTTTTTCACCAAGCTGTTAATGGTTGCTCTCAATTCTCTGTGTCAACATTATCATGTAAAAACTCATTTTTGAAGGGGAATTGGTTTTTCCCAGCTCCCTGTATTCAACTGTGGTGGCTAAAATGGGCCGTGCTGGCCAGTGTGCCACAACTCCAAAATAATTTTGCATATAGTACGTACTGCCTTACTGCCCTCAGTTTTCACTAGTCTACTAAGCTAGGAAGGAGTTAACATAGGCATGGAAGAGACACGCAGAAGTGATCATCCTAGCAGTTGTTTCTTCTAGCTGTACTACAAATGTCCTCCATATGCAATATCTGTGTTGTAGGTGGCCTGCTCATGAGTTAGAAATAGCCTCTCTTTTAGCCATAAACTGAAAGGATGTTAGCAAGGAGTGGATATAGTTGTATGTACAGCATATTCAAGTTCAAATGCTGCAAAGTCATACTCCCTTCAGGTCATTAACTGAAGGGCCTGCAGCCAAGCTGCCGCTTCCTGTGAGGAAATTTGTAAGCCACTCAAGTTTTTAATTTTTACTTAAGTGAATAAACAAATTAAGCTTATGCAGTTATTGCATGAATGCAAGAACTATTCCGCTTCCTCTGGATGAAAAACTGCCTCGGGCATGATGAAATACTGCTTGTTGTGTATCATTGGGCTGATTTGCACATGTATATGCACCACTTTGATTTTTCTGCTCTTGGTTTACCGTACATTTTTCTATTATTGCAGCAAGAGCGTGTAGGCCAACTTTTATTGAAAAGTGTTCCATCTGTGGTGACATTGGGCATCAGGAAAGTGCTATCTGCACTCACCCAGTGAAGGCTTTGCCCGGGTGGATTGGACCAATGAAGTATTGCAAACTGGAAGAAGTGGAATGAAGCAATTTAATATTCAGCATTTGCCTTTTTCACACTGCCGCACACACGGTTGACATTTTCATTTTTTTAGCTATCTGCTGTGACCCAAAGGTCTTACTCTTTGTCAGTCACTCCCAATTTAGACTTCATGCGCATATATGTGAAATTAATATTTTATGCCCCTTTCTGCAATACTTTACACTTATTTACACTGAATTTGCCATTTTACTGCCCATTCGTTCAGATTGGAGAGGTCCTTTCAGAGCTCTTCAGAATCCTTTTTTTTTGTTTCAACAACCCCAAACAGTTTAGTATCCTCAGCAAACATGGCTATTTCACTGCTTTCCCCCACTCCACAATTCTAGATACCGTAGTTCATGAACAAGTTTATAAGTACAGGTTCCCAATACCACAATAAGGGGAGTTCATGCTCACTGGGCACAATAAGGATTGGAGTCCCATCTACAAAGTTGCAGAGTCCTTATCCATGTGATAAGAGGATGGAGTTTGGTGTGAGAGTGCTGAATTGAAAGAGTTTTCAACAAGGTTTTCAATGCATCAATGAGAGATCGACATGTATATCTCAGATTACCACTGCCCCCTTGAAAGGGGGATGGGAGCATAGGCACCACATATGCTGAGGTCCATTTGCTTCCCTGCTCCCACAGCTTGTTGTTGTTTAGTCATTTAGTCGTGTCCGACTCTTCGTGACTCCATGGACCAGAGCACTCCAGGCACTCCTGTCTTCCACTGCCTCCCGCAGTTTGGTCAAACTCATGCTGGTAGCTTCAAGAACACTGTCCAACCATCTCGTCCTCCTTGTCATCCCCTTCTCCTTGTGCCCTCCATCTTTCCCAAAATCAGGGCCCTTTCCAGGGAGTCTTCTCTTCTCATGAGGTGGCCAAAGCATTGGAGCTTCAGGATCTGTCCTTCCAGTGAGCACTCAGGTCTGATTTCCTTAAGAATGGATGCGTTTGATCTTCTTGCAGCCCATGGGACTCTCAAGAGTCTCCTCCAGCACCATAATTCAAAAGCATCAATTCTTTGGCGATCAGCCTTCTTTATGGTCCAGCTCTCACTTCCATACATCACTACTGGGAAAGCTCCATGGACAAAGACGACAGGCTCCCACAGCACAGGTACATAATTTCCTATCTGTGTGTAAAATTGCCTTTTAGACTTCACTCCCTCTATCCATGTGTGAAGAGAATTGGAAAATGGAGCAGCAGGAGACAGGGCCAGCCCTACCATTGGGCATAGCCAGAGGTGCCGACTTATGCACAAGATTTGGGGTGGTGGTGATGATGCATGCATGACATTGGGAGGAGCCAAGGGGTGGAGCCAGATATGGAAGTGTAGCTTCAATGGCCATTGGCGGCTCCTCTCTGGGCCACCTACTGCCACTGCCACTGGCTGAGGGCTGCTTCCCCTGTCTTCCCCTTAATAGGGGGAAGGAGGTACCACTGGCCACTGAAGCCATGCCACACACGGCTCCAAAATCAACCACCTCTTCCTCTGCTGCTGGGGGCAGCTTCTTCCCTCCTGGCCCTCTTCAGCAGGAGGAGGTGTTGGCCATGGAAGCTGCTCTGCGATTGGCCTCGTCTGCCCCCCTAATGGTTCTAAACATGGGATGTTGGGGGCTCCAGAAGAGCTGGTCCTCTAGGAGTTGGCACCTATGGGTGGTGGATGCTGGGAGTAATGAAGGGTGGCAGCAGCAACAGCCCATTAGTTGTTCCCAAGCCCCCTGCACATTCCCCTCTGTTAGACGAGAGTTGTGCCTGCCCCACACCCTCAGGTGCAACGGAGACGGTTATCTTCAGTGTTGAAGTGAGTTTCAGTTGTTAGTCCAGGCAACCCCTGTATCTGGAATGGGGTAGGGCGCCATCTTGCCCTTTGCCTCAGGCAGCAAAATGTCTTGGGCGAAAGCTGGTAGTAGAGTGCATTCTTTACTTGCAGAAGATCTCAGGTTCCATCCCTGCTGTCTCCAGTTAGAAGGAACAGGTAGACCTCTACCTTAGTCCCTGGATAGCAGCTGCCAGTCAGAACAGACAATATTGGGCTAGATGGACAAATGGTCTCGCTTCGTATTAGGCCGCTTTTTATGTTCAGTGTAGTTTTCAGTGTCTCCAACCCTACCTTTAATGCCAACCAGTTAACTATTTTAATTGTGCAAGTTTCTCTTCCTCGCTACCACACGTAGCCTGGACAGGCCTTTTGACACAAGTTCCAGCCATTTGGTGTTTACTTGCCCCATTTTTTAAGTATTCAGTGGTACCTCAGGTTACATACGCTTCAGGTTACAGAATCCGCTAACCCAGAAATAGTACCTCGGGTTAAGAACTTTGCTTGAGGATGAGAACAGAAATCGTGTTCCGGCGGCACGGCGGCAGCAGGAGGCCCCATTAGCTAAAGTGGTGCTTCAGGTTAAGAACAGTTTCAGGTTAAGTACGGACCTCCGGAACAAATTAAGTACTTAACCCAAGGTACCACTGTATATTATATAATTTGCGGGGATGGCGGCTGCATTACTCAGGTGACCTGCCTTAGGTCAGACTGGTCCTCACTTGGGGATTTCTGGTGTGTCAGTTGAAAAGCATTGTTAAGAGCATGGGTAGGCAACCTATGGCCCGGGGGCAGAATCCGGCCCAATCGCCTTCTAAATCCGGCCTGCGGACAGTCCGGGAATCAGTGTGTGTTTACATGAGTAGAATGTGTCCTTTTATTGAAAATGCATCTCTGGGTTATTTGTGAGGCATAGGAATTAGTTCATTCCCCCCCCCCCAAAAAAAAAAATAGTCCAGCCCCCCACAAGGTCTGAGGGACAGTGGACTGGCCCCCTGCTGAAAAAGTTTGCTGATCCCTGGTTAAGAGGAATCGGGGGAAGATAGGGAAAAAGCTGGGCTGGAAGCAGGTGCAGAAATTAAGAGCAGCTTGTGTTTAGAAAGATGGGAAAGGGGTGGTTTTGTGAGTTTATTCTGGAGGAAGGGAAGCTGGGAGAGAGGGTAAATGCACATGGCCACGAAGGAGGCTGAGTGCTGGGCAGGAGGTCTTCCGGTAACAATAAACATTGCTGTTTATGCTAGCGAAAAGCTGGTCTCTGGTAGAAACTGGTGCTATTTGTGCCTGAAAAGCAAGAAAGATGCCTTTTTGCACTAAAAAAAAAGAGAAGAGAAAGTCCCCATCTCCTTAGCAGGGGTGATGGCACGTGTAATTCCAATCACGATTGCTTCCCTTTGAAATCCTTTTTCTTTATTATTTTTTTTACTTCCACAAGTGATGCATTTTATATGAGCAGGGATCTAACGTGATTCTGGACTTCTGCATCGAGCGATACCAGCACTGGCATCGGCACATGCCTCTCGCTTCCCTCTCCGCCCCTCACTCACAAGGCAGTAAATGTGACTGCGGTCTGTCTCACCCACACACTGAGAATTAACATGAGGGAGTGCATGTGACAGGAAGCATCCACTGCAGTTTAAAGCTCTCCTGTGGAAGAGGTCAATAAAGCCTATTGTTGCTCGCTTCCCTGTTGGTGGGAATATTTTTTTTTTAAAGCATTTTGGAGAAGGGAGAGGATTTATTCCCTCTCTTTTAGACAAGCAAGTTGCAATCTTGTGGTATTTTGGTAGAAATCTGTTTGCAGGAAGGAGAGGTTCCAAACAATAGCTAGCAAAGAGAGTCTGCCCACTTCAATGAAATCTGATACTTGCATTTTAGGTCCCCACTTTTCAAACCTTCCTTCTTCTCAGCAAGTACAGCCTAATTCCTTCAAAGTTCACCTTCCCCACTCTTAAAAGTTGCAAACTCCTATGATGCTAAGGGAAAGAAAAAGTGTGTAAACAAGTATGAAATGCCACTGAAGAAATGACATGCAAATCCAAACCTCTATTGTTCCATAGTATAAAAACAAACCATATAGTATATACTGTGCATGATAAAATTTACTCTGACTTCATTGCAACTGAAATGTGCAAAGGACAATAGCTAAAGTAATCACAATCCTTTATATACCTGGAGTTATAACTAATGATAGTCCTACTCAAAGCAGACCTATTGAAATCAATGGGCACGACTTAACGGGTCCATTAATTTCAATAGGTCTACTCTTATTTGAACTATTAATTTGACAGGGTTTTTTTAAACCGCACAGCATTACATCATGTGGTGCATTATGCTTTGGGGTTTGTCAGATCAGTAGGTCAACTCTTGAGTAGGACACAAACCTCTGTAGCAATTTCTTAAGAGATCGCCGCCCCCCCGACTTCTTGCAATGTGAAAAGTGATAGGAAAATGCAATGGAAAGTGTGGGCTAACAGTTGCTTGACACAACCTAAACTTTGTACCACAAATTAGAATGAATGCTAGCCTGATTCTGAGGTGACAGAAAAGGGGACACTTGCCCCAGGCCTTGGAGGGCCAAGCTGTCTAGGGGTCCAACCAGAGACCAGTTGCCTTTTTCTTTTGAGTTTATAACTTTATTCTAGCAAGACTCCCCTCCCTGGGCCTCAGAAAAGCTCTGCACGGGCCTCCTATGTTCTGTCTCCACTCACAGGCAGTGTTCTGTTTGTGCAGAAAATTGATGTACAGTGGTACCTCAGGTTAAGTACTTAATTCATTCCGGAGATCCGTACTTAACCTGAAACTGTTCTTAACCTGAAGCACCACTTTAGCTAATGGGGCCTCCTGCTGCCGCTGCGCCGCCGGAGCACGATTTCTGTTCTCATCCTGAAGCAAAGTTCTTAACCTGAGGTAATTTCTGGGTTAGCGGAGTCTGTAACCTGAAGCGTATGTAACCTGAAGCGTATGTAACCCAAGGTACCACTGTATGTCTGGCGTAAACGTAGCTTACTGCTCAAAAGAGTTGCATCCATTTCCCCCTCCCAATTTTGCCTCTGGCTCCACCCACCACTGATTAAAGTGGCCCCTGGAATATTAACCACGAGGGAATGTGGCCCTCAGGCTGGAAAAGTTTCTCCAACCATGACATACGCTGTGCGGTATCTGTGACTGGCAGGGCTTATGAGCCATTGCTAGCAAGGCAAGAACACTACGTAAACAAAATTATCCCCACAGAAATGGCTTGTTATATGGTTTCGGGGCTATCTTAAAGGTAGTTATCTTCTATTTTTTAGGGTAACTACAGAACGGCATCAGGTATATGGACTTGAATAATTTTGATAACCCGGAGCAGCCCTACAACTCCCATGATCCCTAGCTAGCAGGACCAGTGGTCAGGGATGATGGGAATTGTAGTCTCAAAACATCTGGAGGGCCAAGGTTGAGGAAGCCTGTCTTAAAGCCTCAGCGGTTTATCTGCCTTTTCCATCCCACCCTCCACCTATGTTTTGTTCAGGCTCCATCTCATAATATGACACAGAAGGAGGAGTTTGTATGAAGAAGGTTCTGGAAGAATGTGCTTCAGAGGAACTTCAGCCCTAGTGGGAAACGGTGGCTTTCTTGGGATCCGCGCATGTGCTCTGCCACAACAGCCCTCTCTCTCTCTCTCTCTGATTGCAAACCTTTATCCACCCTGCCAATATTGCACATTCAGAAACAGAGGGATTAAATCAATGGACCCTTCCCTGCCAGGACCTAGTCCTGGGGGATGCTCCTGTTATGGTTTTTCTGCATCAGATGCCACGTCCCTGCTTTCCCAGAGAGACGCACAGTTGGGGAAACGATGGAAAAGCAATCTGAAACATCAGAGAGCCACAGGTAAGGCTGAGAACGATTACGATTGGGACGTGGGGGCAATTTCAGCTGCTTTCAGATGAATGCCTCAGGGTTTCATTCAACTACAGAGTTAGACCCATAGAAATCAATGAACAAAGTTAGCCGCCTCTATTCATCTCAATGGGCCTACAGTGAGTAGGACAAGCCTTGAACACAACCCTCAGCCTTGTAAACCATTGGAGGGACGTGAATAAAATTGAGGGGTATTTGAGTGGGTAAATTAGGCCCAACTTGAAACTTTGGCTTGCTTTTCCAATTTGGGGGGGGGGGAGAGAGAGAGAGAGAGAGCTTTTTACTCATGCATTCCCACCTCCTTCTGCTAAGGCTGGTTTTTGTGCTTTTGCTCCCCCTGTTTTGATACAGAAAGCTATTTCTGATTGTGTTCTTTTTTAAAAACAAAACAAAAGCCAGCTTTTAAAAATCTTGCTTCACATGTGCAGCACCCTGTGACTTACTAAGAGAGTGTGTTATTATGATGTGTCTCCTCCCACACCACAGGCCCACACACTGGTGCCTTTAGATAGGGGAGTCTTCCTTTGATGTTTTTTAATCTCCCTTTCATCATTGGAAAAGATGTGGCAAGGAAACGTCTTTGTTTTTAACAAAAAGCCCTCACATAGGAATTTATGGCATAGGAATTGGTGCCTGCAAGGAAAGCCCAAGTTTTTGCCCTGATTGCCCTGGTATCACGCGAACCCCTCATGGTGCATCCAGAATCACAGGACCATCATGTTAAATGTCATGTAAATAAAAACTGGAGGGATATGTTGTGATTTAGTTACGAGGGCCCGGGGAGCAGCATAGGGTGTGTGTGTGTGCCAGTGAGGTCATGGCCCCAGGCACACATTTTTTGAGGGGGCATGAACCAAGCACACCCCCCCCACAAGCACCCCCAGCACAGCCCGACCTGGTGCGACTCACCCCCCCCCAAGGGCTGTGTTAGCTGGCCAGGCTCCCCCCCATCCCTGCATGGATGGACAGGCCCTTCTTTGCTCCGGTGGGGGGGTCGGGTTGCTCCGGCAGCATCGGTGGCAAGGGCTGGGCTGGCGCTCCCTGGCCGGTGTGTGTGCATGCCCCCCCCCCGGCACGCTTGCCCTTGCCTATCCCGGGCACCACCAACCAACGCTACGCCACTGTATTAGGGAGTGAATGGCATCTGTCCGCTTTCATTAAAATCTTCTGCACCACCAAGCTGTCCTTTAAAAGCCCATGGAGTACTTGCTCATTTTCACATTCTCACTTTCAAACTTCTGAATCCAGTTCCCCAAGAGACCCCCTTTGTGCTAGGCCAAGACTGGCATCCTCCAGCATGACATGACATCACAGCAGACAGAGCCAGTGGCAGTCGGACGAATGCCACTTCTGCCACATCTATCTATGGTGCATTAGTGCACACAAAGCAATGACAGAGTTGTGTGTCTGCGTTTGACATATTGATTGGCATGGCCAGGGCACAGAAGAATGAAGGAGGGTGCAGAGAGAGGGTCACAGGCAGAGATTATAAGAGGACACAAGAGGCCTGACCACATTCGAGGTCTGTTGTAACGGATGGACCAATAATTACTTTATATTATATTCATAACTACCACGGCTAGCACCATCACCCTACATCTTTGGGCATCAGCCAGGGCCCCAACTCCCTGGTGGGGGCCTACTGCTGATTCCTGCCCTGGGTCCTTTAAAAAAAATATGACTCAGTGCCTGGGAGGCCTCTCATCTCAGCCTTTTAATTGGACTCAGCTGGTGTTTTAGGTGGCACTCCATAAACACATTAAGGAGATGATGATGATTTCTTGGGCCCTCAACACAGGACAGGTAGCTCGGAGTTTCCAGGGTGTGAGCTTTGCCATCTACCACCCAAGGTAGTCCGAAGGAAAGGTGAGAGGTCCCAGTGGAAGAAGGCAGAAGGTGCAATCTGAGGCACTGAAAAAGCACTACAGGCCTCAGGTAAGAGTGTCACCCCTTTAAATGTCCTGCAACTCTGCTGAGGGACTGGGGGAGCTATATATATAAAGGCTAAGAATGGTTGGACTCACTGGGAAGACTCTGGTTTCCTTGTTGCTTCCTATGAGGTCTAGGTTTTCTTCTGTTAGGCTTGATCTCTAGATCTCGTACCTGAACGAGTCCAGTTGAAGGTAACATTGTCCCAGTCTTGCTACTTAGCATCCTGAAGGCTCCTGGCTTGAGTGTCAGGATGTTGCCCGAAACTAACAACAGAAAGCATGAAGAGAAAGTGACTGGGTCACCCAGGGGTCACTACATCACCCCTGCTTTCATCAGCCACATTTCTGAGCATCACCACATGTACACTGAAGGGTTTTGTTTGACTGTCAATAGGTAGCAAGTGCTTGTGTTGGTTAGGCTTTCCCATGGTATTGACTTGAGGCTGAAGAAGTGTTTTGTGGGAAAGAGGCTGTCATGGGCTTAACTCTCTGCAAGTGATCATGGCTAATTAAACAATCTATGTCCTTTTAAACTGGGGGGGGGGTATCGTTTTTGTTCCTTATTATGCTATGTATTTTGTGTTTTTATGTTGTAAATAGATGTCTTTGACAATTTTCCTGTGTATTTTGGCCACTAATTTCTGCTTTTTCTCTCTAGTACAGAATTCAGATTCTTGTTTTTAAGTGTAATATACACATCCTTTGTAATAAGCATTAAATCATTGGGTCAGCCCCACTGCTTAATGCAGTTGTGTGTTCCTCACTAATGGCTAAGACTGCTAGCAATTTCGGTGGTCGCAATGTGCTTTATTGCACTGCCGATTCAGCCTCACTTCCGGTCTGTGTTCAGTCCTTTGCAGTTTTTCTCATGCCTTCAGAGTAAATTTGATAGGCACAGGAAGTGTCATTAGATATTGAACCGAGAGTCAACAAAAAGGAACTCTGCTTCTAAGAATGGTACATCACTATCCCCCCTCCCGATTTTATACCATATGAACTAACGCTGGTGGAAAAGATGTTTGCTTGTTTCTTTCTCTACTATCCTTCTTATGCTGCATTGCAGAAATAACAGCACATACACACGCACGTTTTTTCTCAACAGGAAAAAAAATGAATTGCACACATTGGCAGCGTAATTATTGATGTCTTCATCCATTCACTGCCTACCAGAACATTAAGAATTGCCCCCATCACTAAAAGTCACATTTTGCATGGCTACTAGTTTAGTGTATTTATGGTGCATGAGTCACTGAGCTTTCTCCTGATTGGCTGAAAATTAAACACCGCTGGGACTGTCAGTCAGTTACAGCCATTCTCAGCTTCATTCACAGATTTATTTCGCTTGCACACAGGGAAATTCATTCAGAAAACTTCATTCATAAAAACTGCAACATTCTCTTTCTTTTAATCTTCCATACAAATAAGCTACCATGACCTGGCTACTGAGGAAAACCTACGGATGACTCGGAAGGCTGCTGGAGATGCTTCACTGTAATATTTCCACTGACTGATGATGAATCTGAAGTCCAATTGTGCCGGATCATAAATCTACAAGGAGTATTTTGCTTATTGTGGTGCTAAAGGATCTTTCAAGAATTACCAGGGTTTTACTGAGAGAAACTGAGTTTCATCTGCAGAATTATTTAACATGGGATCTTCTCACCTACATTTCTGTGAATTAAGAATTTTTAAAATTGCATTTTTCCCCCGACAGAGAAATTCAGCATTAATATGCTAATGAAAAATCTCCTTTCAATTCTGCTGTTCTAGGAAAGGTAGAAATTTAAACTCTCTTGTGCTGTTGTGATATGAAATAGTGTTTTCCTTTCTATTTTAAATATATTTAGATAAAATTAATTGCAGCCAGGGTTTGACTATTGCTAAAATGGGGCTATGGTAGTGAGAGGTCAAAGCAGAGCTTGCTTGCATGCTTGCAGAGCTCTTCAGAATAAACGGTTGTAGTTTTCTCTGGTTTACCTGCATGCATGCATGCATGTGTGAGTGTGTAAATTTAATTCAGGTTTAATTCCAAATAGCCAGATGTCCAGACAGAGCGAGGCTCAGTTTATTAAAAGGAAGAAGTCACCTGGGAACCTGACGAGGACGCCAGTGACAACCAAATCTGCTCTTTTCTTCTTTCTTTTCAAAATAGTTCTGGTTTGCCTAATTCCATATTTCTTTCTCTTATTTATAAAAAGGCGGCCGATTTAGAGAAGGGTGGGGTAGGGAAAGAGAACCCAGTTGCAGAACTTTGAAGGCTATGAGAGAACGCATTCCACACAGCCTCGGCGGACACATACTGTATGTAGGACTGTTGAGAGACCTAGGAATGCTTCACAGGGCTAAGTACAGTCGTTTTAAAAATGAATCCCTCACATCCCTGGAGGAAGATGTGCAGAGCCGTCCTTTGCACCTTAAAGGCTCTTCGTCTTCTCATTCCTCAACGCCTAACATGCCCATTGAAGATGTCACCATCGGGACACCGGACAGCTCTCTCGCTCTGTGCACCTTGATCCCTCGGATGGCTAATATCAAGCTGGCCAACCCTTCCACCTTACCAAGCTTCAAGAACTTCTGCCTACGGACTAAGGAGGTACCAAGAATTAAGCTCACAGAATGCCAAACTGCCCCGAGCAGCCCAACCTTGCCAGAAATCAATTTGACCAGCTGCCTGACTGCTTCTTATTCCCGGGGAAACCCAGACAGGCCAACAAAGGCCAAAACAAATATCCAAGAGGACAGTTTCTTGTCTGGCTCTGAGGAATCGGCTTTCATATCTAAACAGGAAAAAGACTTTAGGCAGAGGGGTGAATCCAGTTTGGAGACTGGGATCTCATACGCCGTCCAAGTAAGTTGCTTCTCAAAATATCTCTTTTTGACATGGTAGATTACCTGCTATTAAGAATTTAAAAGCAAGACCAACTTGGGAATTATGTGGGGTGCTAAAAAGCGTTGAAAGCACTATAGTTAAAACGATCCCATTCCTTGCAGCTGTTGTGCAAAACAAAACAAAATGCATGAGTATTATTATACTCATGCTGCAGATGTGAAGACGGAGGCTCACTGTGTAGCTTCTTTAAGACCATTTTGTGATGTGAGTTGGTGATATTTGATTTCAGGATTTCCTGGTTTATGGCTCACTTGCTAGCTTTTATCCTGTGCCAGTACATAACCCACCTCGTCTTAAAGGTCTGGGTTGGATTGCAACAGAAAAGCTAGGCAGAGAACCATGCAACGCTGAAGACATTTCCTCTCTCATATGGTGGTAAAAGGAATTCAGATCTCCCCTTTGGGCTGTGTGTATTCACATGTAGGGAAGCAGACTGGAGTTATTTTTAAACCAGGTATGCATATGTCTCAGCTGCGTACACACTACACAGCATGTGCAAAGCACATTGTCTTTCAGAAAAGACTGGGGGACGGTAGCTTCTTAAGGGCTGTTGGGAATTACAACTCTGTGCATGGTAAAAAAACAACAACAGTGCCCAAATTTCTTTGAGGGGAGGAAAGAATGTGCTTTAAAGGTGTAGTGTGAACATTTTACGTATGTTTTATATTTGAGATGTGCGTGGAAATGTGACAAACGGCGTGTCATGTGATAAAACAGTCTCAAGATGCATGACGACCTAAGCCATGAGCTAGTGCGCTGAGGTAGCTGTTTTAAAGACATAGTACAAGGTGTTCCTGGTGCAGACTAGATCATAGCTGTCAAGTGTCCCTTATTTGGTGGGACAGTCCCTTATCCCAGTGCCATGTCCCGCTGCTGTCCCTTATTGATGAGGCTTCATTTGGCTGCTGGCTGGGCTTTCTGCCTTTGGCTCAGAGGGGCTCAGAAGTCAAACATACCTGTGCCCGGAAAATCCCTTATTTTGGCTGCTGATCCCTTATTTTCGAGGCTGCTGGTCCCTTATTTTCAAATCTGTAAGTTGACAGCTATGGACTAGATCAGCCTGTCATCTGACTTGACCTCTTTTCTGCATAGTGGTATGGGCTCGGCCCAGAAGAAGAGAATAAATTTGTGGATAGGGATGTGGAACCACTTGGAGGAGTGCCAGTGCAGAGGGCATGTTACCCAAGGAAATCCCAAAATCTACAACACTACAACCACTGGTCACTCAGCCATAGCTAAAAGGGTTTCCTGGGAAGAGGGGCATAAGCAGGGACGGGGAGCTTGTGCGCCCCCTAGATGTTTTGGACTACAATTCCCATCATCCCTGACCATTGGCCATGCTGCCTAAGGCTAATGGGAGATGGAGTTCAACAACATCTGTGGGGCCACAGTTTCCTTATACCCAGCATAAGGGAGGAAGGAAGAAGATTGCAGAGGGGGTCGTATGTTGTTCGAAAATGACTCATGAGTCCAGGACTTCTCAAACATTTTGAAGTGGAACTAAGCTGTAAATTGACTTTACTGGACCCACTTGTATCCCTGCCTTGCGAGCCCTACCTTCCCCCTTTATAACACTAAACAGGAATATCGCGTAAAATGCTTGGTACTGAGAAAGTTTATATTTAATTTTCAATTTTAATAGGGAATGCAGCATGTTCCCCTCTTTTGATGTTTCTAATCCACATTTTTCTTTATCATTTTTGTGGGGGGCAGGGGGCAAATAACATGGGTATTAGGCAACTAGGTTTTACTCCGAGTAGGCCCATTGAAAGTAGACATGCCTACTTTGAGTATGAGTAAGGCTGAACCCTATCTATTTAAATAACATTTAAGGATGGTATTATACATGAAATTAAGGAGGGAGTAAGAGGGTTGGAATTGGAATTGGAATTGAAATATCCTGATTGTGCAGCCTGCTTAGGAGCAGATCGGGACCCACAGCTTAAGAATCACTGTGTTTCTCAGACTGCCAGAAAACTGGCATGTCCAACATTTTATCATTAACCCAGAAGATGAAGCCCTCAGCTCAGATCTCCCAGTATCCTGCCTAGAATAAATGAAAATTACAAAACAAAACATAACATATGCCCCAAAACAACTGTCCCACTTGTGCATGCTTGTATGGTCAAAGATGTACAAGCTTCCATTTTTATTTTTTTCAAGTCAGTTCAGGGCAAATACCTAAAGATCAAATGATCTGGATTGTCACCCCTGTGTTTACCATGCAGTTGGGTTACATTCCATCTTTCTGCATAAAATGCACTTGGGACAGCTTGGGCATGTTATGCAGTTGGTGGCTGCACAGCTTGCGACGCGCTGAGCAAAATGTTGATGTGTGATGTCCTTCCATGTGCTCTGCAAACCCTTATGTTCTTGCAGACCCCAGCTAGCGACAAAAAGCAGGCATATTCATGAGCATAGAGCGCTGCCTTACTAAGTTGGACCACTGGTTCACTGAGCTGAGTAGTATTGTTTGCACGTAATGCCAGTGGCTGTTTAGAATTCCAGATGGGAGTCTTTTCCCAGCCCAACCTGGGGGTGTCAGGGATTGAACTGGCGACCTTCTGCATCCAATACAGAAGTTTCCACCCAAGGTACAGCCTTTCCCTTTCTGTTCCTAGTGGGCCCCCTTAGAATCATAGAATTGTAGAGTTGGAAGGAATTCCAAGGGTCAGGTGGTTCACTCCCTGCAGGTCAGTAATGAACACCCACATATCATATTCCTGCATTGCAGGGGGTTCGTAGATGATCATCAGGGTCCCTTAAAACTCTATGATTCTGTGTTGCCATCAGTTTAGCAGGAAGTTTGGGCTGACGAGGAAGGATGCCTGCACGGTGTTCCCAAGCAGCATCAACCTCATTGCAAGCCCTTTTGTTGTCAAGAAGATGCTGTTTTGTCTCTTCTTCACCCCCTGTGATTGCCACAAAAACCACTGGATGCTATTGGGACTATCACACATTTGAACATGTTTTCACTTTAGTTCTTAGCCCTCCTTTCATTCTGCTTTATTTTATTTGTAGCAGAGCAAGATTCAGTTTTTAGTAGGTCTGGATTTGGATTTTTGAGGTCTCGCTTTAGATCTCTCTGCTGAGCTCAGACCTTTTTGGTCCGGTCAATATTTCACAGTGCAGTCCTATACACGTCTACTCAGAAGTGAGTGTCTCTGAATTCAGTGGGGCTTACTTGCAGGTAAATGGGTACAGGACTGCAGCTTTGAAGATTCAATTTCTTCGTTATTTTGTGAAGCAGGAATAGACTCGAAACAGCTTTTAGGGGGAAAGATTGTAGTGCAATAAAGGCAGCTGGTGCTGTTTTGGCTTCAGAATACAAATCAGGTTAAGACAACAAGATATGCCACTGGGCCGAATTCTGCTGACTAGCCTACAGAGGTTTGCATTTTCTGCTTTGTGTACTTTAGCAATGGCCCCATTCACCACTGAAATGTGGCCCCTGAAAGGTTGCCTAGTAAGGAATATGGTCCTCAGGCCGAAGAATGCTTGCCACATCTGCAGTAAAGGACTCACTATGAGTAAACACCCTCCAAAACCTGGAGATGGCACCTTCCAGAACTGCCTACCATTGTAAAGTGCACATCAGACAGAAGGAAACTGCACATATTTCAGAAAGGTGTTTGCAGAGCCAAGCGGTCCTCCTAGCGAGTCAAAATGCACATCACTGGGATTTTTCTTTGAAGTGCCCAGATTAGCTAATCCTGACCTAGCAATAGGTTCTTCCCTTGATGGGGGATAGTTAGATCCTGAGCAAAGCCTGCCCATCTGACTTAAAGAAAAAAACCAGACTGGAAAATGGGTTCCACGCAACATGCTGGCCCCAATCCAGAGATCTTCATGGATTGCCATCCGCTGCATGCCTTCCATGATGGGGGAAGAGCTCCCTTGCAGAACAGCTGGCCCAAACTGTCATCTTTGATAGCACTGAGCACCTGTTACAGCAGGAAGGGGATGCTAGGCATGAATTCCCGGCCCCTAAACAGGTGTTCGCTGCTGATCAGAGCTGACAGTGTTATCTGTCTGTTTGACAAGTGTGGATAGGGTACACAAAAGCATATTGGGTGCATCAACATTGTGTGTATGTGAGCACCCGTTCAGGTGGGCAACCTGCTAAAGCTCCATTTCTGAATGAATATTTCCTCTCCTGGATTGACCACCTAGCTTGATCAAGGTGCCCAACTTCCATTGTGGTTGCAGAAGTAAATGGGAAAGTTGACACCAAGAGGTTTGGAGAGAATATTTCCTGGTTTATAGTTTGGCTATAACTTAAGGCAATAGCATAATAGTGAATTCTGTTAGCCTATTCTGCTTTTGAGGCAGATTTTCTGCATTTACGTGTTTGTGTGTGTGTTATGGAGGAAGAGACTAAATCTATTTTTCCTTTGAAGTGGGTGCACACCAAGAAGATGATCGAGAGTCTGTTGATGGGATAGAAAGTGATGCCTTAATATGTTCATTCTCAGTCTCTCATATCAGAGGTTAATTTTGAGGCAGCTCTCTGCTCTGGGAGCATAATAATGCACAGAATTTAATGCTGCAGAAAACCAACTTAAATAGAACTGATTAGAAAGTTGTGGTAGCATCTGGAGATAATTAAACTAATGAAGGTGAAAAAAGCAGGAGTATCAGGAAATGCAAAGTGGCAGGTGCTTGGTGATCAGATGTGTCAAGGAATAGTTAGGGATTTCACAGATTGAAATCAATGTTTCCCTGGGAGAGGCATGAATTATGTGAGAAAAAAGTAATATATTTATTGTCACTCTCGTAATTATTAGATGTCATTCTAGTATTTTCCTTCTTTTTTGGTATTTCTCCCCCCTCCCCAATGCTCTTTTGTATTTTGGGGTAATAAAACTATACATAAAAGAACTTCGAACACATTCTTCCCATATATCATTGCAGTAATCTTTAAAACAACTCTGCATAGTGCTGAGGAACTGCTGTAT